CTCCCAAATTCTCTCTTCTGAGTACCATTAAAACTTGATGTCTTGATCTGTGATCGTTTGCTTAACTCCAGGCAGGAAACCATATGTTCAAATATGCTGAAACATTATGTCAGCACAGGGAAACTGCCTTAGCTTCTCTTGTCCCCTCTTAACCTTTCTTTCTTCCAGTCCTTCAGATCAAAAGGCATGTCCCTCTGCATGAGGCTGATTCCTCCAACCTCATGTATGGAGAAGAAACCACTGGAAATGAGGAAACCAATAGATTGCCATTATGGTAGCAGAAGAGATGGGTAACAAGGGCCAAAGCTTGAATTGTGGCTTCAAGAAATCTTCAGAGTATAGCTAATGACGGTTTTGAGCCAAAGAGAACAGGTGTGTGTGTCCATGAGGAAGAACCTTCTTAGCATACTTTTCTACTCTCTGGAAAAAGATGATTGAGAAGAGGTAGAAAGATAAAAATATAACAATGATCTCTATAAGTCAACATATGTACGGTGACCTCATAGGAGGTGAGGAAAAAATAAGATGTCTATTTCCATTTCCTCTTAAAGGAGGAAGTTAACCTCCACTAACAATTTTTTGTAAGATTTACTTATTTATTTGGAAGTTAAGTTATGCAGCGAGAAGAAGAGGCAGAGAGAGAGAGAGAGAGAGGCCTTCCATCTGCTGGTTCACTCTCCAAATGGCCAGAGCAGGGCCAATCTGAAGCCAGGAGCAGCTTCCAGGTCTCCCACATGGGTGCAGGGGCCCAAACACTCACTTGGGCCATCTTCTACTGCTTTCCCAGGCCATAGCAGTGAGTTGGATTGGAAGCGGAGCAGCCAGGACTCGAACTGGCGCTCATATGGGATGCCTGCACTGCAGGCAGCGGCTTTACCGCTATGTCACAGCACCAGCACCAGCCCCAACCTCCATTAACATTGACTATAGACTGACACTTGGGGCCGTCCCTCTAGCAAAATCCACAGCATCTGAGTGGATGTCATGTCACCTCTCAAGGTGTGCACCTGAAGTGACCAAAGGCAGAGTGAAAATCTCAACAGACCCCAAACTCCTTAGCTTGCTTTCAGCAAGCACAAAAAACTGCAGTTTATCTGTATCAAGTTGGATGAATATTTTTATTATTTTTAATAATCTTTACATAAAACAGCTTGCATAAATCCATGTCTTATGAACCATTCTAAGACTTCTCAATATTCTTTAATTTTTAGAATGAATTAGAGATGACACTTCTCTTTCTAGAAAAAGTGACATTAAGGATGTGACTGAAGCAGATAATCTCATCAGACTGTACCAAGAAAGTTGACCAAGAAAGTTGTCAATACTATTAGAAATATAGACGTGTACCACTATTGTTATGATAAATCTTTCAGACTATAGTGACCCTTGGGAAACTAGCTAATGATAAAGTATATGCAAAATATATCTCAGGAAAATTAATAAACATACATTGGAGGTGTTTTCTCAAAAAATTTTGGCTGACAGGAACATGCCAGCTAAGAAGCCTGGAGACTACTGGCACATCAGCTACAGTCTAAGGCTGCGGGAACTAAATTTCCTAGTCTTTGCCCTGGGGCAAAAGTAGCTGTGCTTTAGTCATATTTTAGAAGAATGTTTTGTTTTTGTTTGGAGAAAGCTTTTGAAACTTTTGAAACTTCTATTTTAGTCTCATCTCTTAGGCACTCTAATTTCCAGTAACTGAGTACAATGAAAGTATAGGTCAACTGAAATGAAATTCCTTTAAACACACTTTGTTTTATACATATTATTTTTAAAAAAGATTTATTTGGAAGACAGAGCTGAGAGCGAGCGAGAAACTTCCATCTGCTGGTTCAGTCCACAAATGGCCCCAAAAGCCAGTGCTGTTCCAGTCTGAAGCCAAGAGACTGGAGCTTCTTCAGGGTCTCCCACATGGGTGCAGGAGCCTAAGCACTTGGGCCATCTTTGGTCACTTTCCCAAGCACATTAACAGGAAGCTGGGTTGGAAGTGGAGCATCTGGGATGCGAACTGTCACAGGCGGTAGTTTTACCTGCTCCACCACAATGCTGGCCCCTACATTTTAAAAAAAAAATTATTTATTTGAGAGAGAGAGTTACAGAGAGAGAGACTGAGAAAAAGGTCCACTCCCCAAATGGCCACTGGGCCTATCCAAAGCCAGGAGCTTCTTCCGGGTCTCCCACGTGGGTGCAGGGGCTCAAACACTTGGGCCATCTTCTATTGCTTTCCCAGGCCACAGCAGAGAGCTGGATCAGAAGTGGAGCAGCCATCACTCGAACTGGCACCTATATGGGATGCCAGAACAGCAGGGGCAGCCCAACCAACTATGCCACAGCAGTGTTCCCCCTATATTCTATTTTTTTTTTTAAGATTCATTCTATTTATTTGAAAGACAGAGTTACAGACAGAGAGGAGAGGCAGAGAGAGAGAAGTCTTCTATCCGACGGTTCGCTCCCCAGATGGCCGCAATGGCCAGAGCTGTGCTGATCCGAAGCCAGGAGCCAGGAGCTTCTTCCGGGTCTCCCACATGGGTGCAGAGGCCTAAGGACTTGGACCATCTTCTACTGCTTTCCTAGGCCATAGCAGAGAGCTGGATCGGAAGAGGAGCAGTCAGGACTAGAACTGGTGCCCATATGGGATGCCAGCGCTTCAGGCCAGGGCTTTAACCCACTGTGCCACAGTGCCGGCCCCCCTATATTCTTAATTTAGTCCATCAGAGGCCACAGTCAAGGGGAAAAACTCTCAAAAACTCAACTAATGTTGCAGGTTAAGTCAGATATTCTAAACAGTCATATGGACTGTTTCTTGTTGCCTACACCTGTTCATGATTGTGTCCATGTCCAAGCAGATTTTGGCAATTATAGAATAATCTGGAACATGAGTAAAAGGAATTTAGCAGGGGTTTTCAAAATGTTCAAGAAAAAAAAAAAAACACGCTTTCAATTCCATTTTCCACTAACTTTTTGAAACTCCCTGATATTAACAAGTCAAAGTCACAGTATTTTGCCTTCTTTGTGGGACTCCAGGTGGCTGAGTCTGTCAGACACCCTCAGAGAAGCAATGGGCACTTGCGAATGTACCATATGGTGGCATTAGATCACCTTCCTCCCTTTGCAAGGTTACAGTCAATCCCAGCCAGCCAAGGGGTATTTTCTCTAGCTCTTCCACCTATACTTGCTATAACAAGAAACCAGATCTCAGATTTGGCCAGGTCCGTCTACTTCTGTACAGAAGCCAAAGAGGACTCTAATATTTCAGGAGAAGGTAGCAGCCTACAAGAACTGTTGTTTTATTAGACCCACAAGCTTACTCTGTGCTCCAGCTTTCCTGAGGCTTAAGATTCATTCTTTCCCAATAAGATTTTCAGTACTCAGATTCATTTCCATGTCCTTGTTGTTAAAGTAAAACAAAGAAAAGCAACAGAGAAGAATGTGTGTAGGGAGTGGAAAAATTGTTTGAAGAGGCCTCAGAGGTCAGCCTGAAGCTCTTGGATTCTTAGCTCCAAGGGAAAGAAATAATCAGCTACCATCCCAGTGTTTGAAAAGCTCACCAGGAGCGCGAATGCTGATAACGAGGAGCAATACTTCAAGACTTCTCTGAAATGTTTTAAACCACTTATCTTTTTTCAAAAAGCCCATTTTACTACTATAAAAGGAAAATCCTTAGCTCTGTAACAGGCGTAGCATTCATACAGGTTAGGATAAAATCATTCCCTTAAATATTTGCCTTTGAAGTGGAAATGTGATCATATGCAAAGGAATGAACATGATTTCAATTGCTTTCTCAGATGACACGTTTAGAATCAAACGCATGTGATCTCATAGGTTAGAATTACCCTTCTCACCAAGGGCTCCCACCTGAGACCCATTTTTTAACAAAGAAGGAATTACCACTGCTTTAAAATGGCACCTAATTTCATGTCAGTGGGAACTCCACGCTCTTGGCTTCCACCAAAAAGGCCAAGCAGGAAGCACATGCAACACTGTTCCCAGGAACCTGAATACCACACTCTAATTGGCTACAACAAATTCATGAAGTTAGGCAGAAACGTGTGACCCATCATGTTCAAAGCAACAATTTGCGATCCTTTTCACTGTATCTGATATTCTTTTCACACTTATGAGAATTCCGTAATTTGGTTAAAATTTTAAAATATTTTTATGAGAGAGACAGAGAGCACCCTCATCTACTAGTTCACTTCCCAAACACCTCCAATGGCCAGAGGTTGAGGACAGGAGCCATGAACTCAATCAGGGTCTTCCATACCGGTGGCAGGGACCCAAGTACTTGAGAGCAATGCATCACTTGCTGCCCCCCAGGGCCTGCCTTAGCAGAAAGCAAGAACTGGGATTCAGAGTCAGCCCCGTGATATGGATATAGGTATGGTAAGCAGCATCTTAGCTACTAGGCCAACCACTTACCCTATAATTTGATTTCTGAATGTACATAGGCTAGAAGAGTATTACTATATTACCCCAAACTAATCAGTTATCCTGTCACACATTCCCTGCTTTCAGTTCATGGGGGATTTTTTTTGTTTTGTTTTTGTGATTGATCTATCAACTGATTCCTCCTTGGCTATAACAATCTGCATCCAATATTTTTAGAATGAGTGGTTGACACTATAAGTGCCTGCTTTTGATAAACTCCCAGGTTTATCCTGTTATAGTATTAATAAACATATATCATACACAAAACCTTTATTTACAATAAATAAACAACAGAAAAAGTTCACTTTAAATAATCAGGTATTCCATATATTCAAGTGAATATGTTTTATTAAATGCATACTAATATCTTTCTATAGTATGTGAGTATACATAATAAATTAAAATGTATATATTTATTAAATATAGATAGATATAATACCAGAACATGATTATTTCAGATGAGAAATCAAAATAAACCCATTTTTAAGTATCTTTTGGTCACTCCAAATTGATACTGCTCATAAAAAAATACACTAATTTTCCCTGGGGAAAAAAAATTAATTCCATAGCAATGTAGTTAAGGGACATGTTTTATTTCAGAGCTTTCTGCAAGCAAAATTGCTTTGATACAAAATGAGTTCAATGATACAGGTGCTACTGTCCACTCAAGCAAAAGAAAACCTCATGTTTATATGAATGCACTTTATAATTATATTCTTACAGTATAATAGGTCTAATATCCAGAACGTTTCGGCTTCATTTAAAGCAATGGCACAGAAACGCTGCAAGGTACTTGAACATCATTGTACTGGCAAGTGCTTGAAGTAACTCCCCGTGAGTTCTCTGTCAGATACCGCTTACAGAACTGTGTGTGGATGCGTTTAGCTTTCTTGGTCTACATTCAAATCTCAACATTATACCCCCTCTGTGTGTCTTTCAGCTTTTCAGCAGTTCCATTCAAACAAGAAAATGTCACGAGGTATCCTTAACGTTAGCTAGCGTCGCAGTGCTGTGTCGGTCAGAGGATGCAGACTTACCTGTAGGTACAGTAACTGATTTTAGTGTGTGCTCTACACGTCACAGTGCAGAAATGATAGTTCATGTAAAACTCTTCCCACTCACATATGATGTGACTTTAACCCCAGAACATCTGACCAAAAAAATATACAGATCAAATAAAAAGACAAATACACAAATAAGGCCATCTGCAGAATTTTAAGCTCACCTCTTGCAATATTTCACAATAATTTCTACATCATATTTTACATTGTTCAAACTTAAATAGTAAATGCTCAAGGAAAGGCCTTGGTGGAACCAACTGCACTATCTCTTTGAGGACTTGCTGGCAGGTGATTTCCTCTGGGGCGTGGGGATCTTCGAAGGCTTGGCTGTGGATGGCCGAGAACCTGCTCGGGGCGTAGGTCTGTGTGTTTGGGGGACAGTCTCCACGTCTGAGCACACCGACTGGATTTCAGAGATGTCAAAGTCTGACGCATCACTGCCTCGACGGCTGCTGGCCCTGCTGCCAGCTTTGCTTCCAGCTCGGCTTCCTGGTCGGCTGGGCGTCTTCTTGGGATCTGCAGAGAGAAGGGCACGGGTGGGTCACTCTCATTCCTGGGTCCATATGTGTCCAATTCTTGAAACCTGATGCTGCATTCCCCTCCCCTCCCCCAGACATGTAATAGGCACTCAGAAAATACTTGTGGAGTCACAGTCATTCCCCATTACATAAGAGCAGGTTGTCTCAGTCAAGGTAGACATATTATAAAAAGTTAGATTTACACACAAAAGGCAAGGTTGAACTGCACTCATTTGAAACAGGATTCCATTTATTACAAACAGACAAAGATTGTGATTTCTACAGTGTAGCAGGTGCATACGGGAATGTGTGCTGTGCAAGCATGAAACAAATTCTTAACAGGTGTGCATCTCACCTGAGGACAGGTAATTCAAAGAAGGCAGGAATTAAAATGAAAAGAATTGAAACTTCAAAGAAGCCTCATGCTTGCTGAACTCGGAACGCAGGGGTTTAGCAGGTTCACTATTCTGGGAAGAAAGGTGAGATGCACAGGCCTGTGGCCCAGTAAGGCTGGCTTTTTCCAACTTCCCAAACCAAAGTCCTGTCTGTGCAGTCTCTGAGCAGGCAGAAAGGCCACGGCTTTCTGGTTTGAAAGAGTAGAATACTATTGATATTTTCTTCTTTTCTATAGTAATTGTCTCACCTTCCTTGGGCATTTTCCAAAGTTTTTTTTGTTTTTTGTTTTTTGTTTTTTTTTTTCTCCTGTGACTCCTTTATCCTGCTACCAATGTCGCAGGATGGGAGCCATGTGCCATTTTGAAAGAAGACATCATTGTCAGTTTGGAATTTCTTCCCCAGTTAAATAAATGGGACTCCAACCTTCACATCATCACACTGTAAAAGCCACTCAAAACAAAAACGCACTGTACTGACCAGCAAACTGTGTCCGGACGCGAGCAGCTGCAGTTGTTATCAAGCCACTGTCCTCTGCAGAGTGGAAGCCTTTCCCGGATAAGTATCCTGGAAGTCGAAGCTTGCTTCCTTGGATCGGAGTTCCCTGTATTTAACGGCGAAAACACATTTCAAGCTACTGCCCATGTTCCAGGACAGACTACCCATGCTACTTCTTTAGAAATGGGTGTACTTTAGAAGTCTGAGGGGGAGAAACCTCTCAATTAAACATGGGACAGGGTTCTCAGTGGATTTGCGCCCCTAATTTCTTATTCTTTCCCAGAAGTCAAAGGAATTATTCTAAAGAAAATGAATTCACGGTTGAAGGGAAAACACAAACATGGAGGTCCCCAAGCGAAAACAAGTGATTGTGGGGGAAAAAAAAAGATAAATTGAGTACCTTAACATTTATATCAATGAGTCAATGAGTATCACAGAGCTAAGAGAACTATTGCCAAAAGGTGCCAATTGGGTGAATGCCTGACTAGAGAAGGGACAGGGGCTCTGAAAAATCATGCTTGGATGTTCTGCCACCTCTGGTGCTCTTAGGGAAGTAAGCAAAAACAAGCAAACCATTTAAACACACTTATCTGCAAAAAGAAAAAGACAATGAGGTTTTATAACTAGGCACCATATCATTTCATTTTTTGGTTTTATCACCTTCTGTGGTCCTCACAGGTAAGATGTAATATGCAACATTGGGGGATAATTCTATAAATTCTCAAAGGAGTCTGTACAGACTGGCTAAAGCCATCAACACTATATTTTCTTACAAATATAAGGTGATCACATTATTCCACACTGCTACAACATTTTGGAAATTCTGCCAGAGTTTAAAAAGTAAACAAATCTCTCGATTAAGAGATGCCATATTCCGCAATGGATACACAACCAAGGAGATTTGTGGAAGTAATGAACCAATACAGACTATGTGTGCATTTTGAAAATAATGTATTTTCCCTTAAGATAGTGCTAAATGTTTAATAAAGCATATAGAAGACCTTTTGATGCATTTTATACAACATTCATATGATTCAAATGTTTATATATGTAAGTATACTATTCGTATATAAGGCATATATATAGAATGCTCAAGTTCTCAAAATATTTTCACACACATAACCATAGTTAATCTGTACATTCACCTAAGCATAGCCTTTTTACATATGTGAAAAAATTGGGGCCTGAGGAGAGAAACAATTTGCCCAAGATCTGCCAATGCTGATGTAGTTAAATTGCTATCTTAAAAACAAAGTGACAGTCCACAAAAGAGTGAGGGCCCATGAATTATGAAACTTGTCATTCAAAGTGGAAGAATTCATTACCATGAAAGACCCAACACATTTTTCTCAAAGTGCCTTGACAACTTTGGCTTAATTGTTGTAGACCCTTCAATAGAAGCACATTGTGGTTCTGTTTGGTTGGTTGTTTTTATGAGGCTATTTGAGAGGAATCACAGTTTTGTAATCATCAAAAAAAATTTAGATATTAATTTGGATGAATGTCTACTTTTAGGCCTAAATATTGAAATTCTTTAAATCGCTCTCAGTTTTTGCTATAATAGATTCATCCAAATTGGCAGATATCTCTAGATGTCATAAATGACACAAACATCCCCTATTTGGAGGAAAAGGGTGGCAGTGAGGAGGGAATGAGAGATGATGAAGAGAGGGTTGTTTCTGTCCTCATTCTACCATTTATCAGCAAGGGGCTTTCCACTGAGTCATGAGATCATGAACTCTTCTGCACCTGCCTTTTATTATTGATATAAGGATTGAGTAACAGATAAGACAATGTTTTGAAAAGCACAAAGGGATTTTAAAAGGTAACATTTCTTTTTATGAAAGGGTCCTTGTCTTTTTTCAGTACATTCTTGATCATTAAGATGAAATAGTTCCTTCATTTCAAGAAAAGGTGTTTAAGGATATTTTGTCTCCTAATTATCGTGAATTGACTCAGAAACATGACTATTTCATGCCTATGTTTATCATTCCACAGAACTGTCCTCAAAATATTTAGGGTAGCCTTTCAACTGAATGTAAATGATTTGATACATAAAGTAATCTTGGCAAATTTTATGCCACCTAAATCTCTTTTGTATCATATCATGTTAAGAGGCAAAACCAAATTTAAATCAGTTATTAAAGTCTAAGAAGGATACGTTCATTACGTTTTGAAAATGAGAGTTAACTTTCTGCATACCTGAGTCTGTCCCTCCTCCCCCATTCAAATAACTGAGAGCTTGTGCGACACCTACTGTGAGTAGGAGTGAGAACCAGAAAAACAAAGGTGGCATACGGCTTGTAGGTATGACTATGGAAAGGTGACAAATAATCAAGGCGATATCAACAGTCTTTTCAGTCAACCCCTTGCAGCTGGGTTGGCACTTACTCAGAAGACATCTATAAAAAGGTGTAGTACATCACAAGTACATATGTTAAGGGATGGTGAGGTGTGTTAGTGGGTGACAGTTTTAATTAAATAAGGTGGTTAAGACTGAAGTCTGGGGCCTTACAATACCTCTGCAGATGACACAGGATAGTCTGAGAACTCTGCTGGTTTACAAGGAGTTGACATTTTGCTGTTTGTCAACCATGGTTTACCATAATTGCGTGTTAAAGGATGGAGGATCTGTATGGAACAATGGCAAATCAAATGTAAAGGATAGCAGATGAAAAAAAAAAGAAGCCATAGAAAGAAATATTCATTCAAAGGAACACATTTCACAGTCAGAATAATAATCAAAAACAGATGTAAAGATATGATGGCAAATCACACACGAACACAACGACAACAACAAAATGAATGAAGCTTTAAAAAGAAAAACTAATCTGAAAGATCACAAAGCCCCTGAATACATCATCTCCACATGGGCCACTAGACAGAAACTTAAATTTAAAAGAAAACAATCTTTATTTCCCACATTGTGAGAAGGGACACAAGTGCTGTAAATGCTAAGGACCAAAACCATTTAAAGCATTCAGATCCCTCGACTGCATAGGAGAAGAGTTCATCCCAGAGTCTTACCTTGGGTGTGCTGGTGGCAGGGACCTGTGGGGAGGCTGCCTGACCAGCCTGGCTGGACAAAGAGGTCGATCTGTTGGGTGAGGCACCTCGAGACGAAGGCCGTGATCTTCGGCCCCGGGGTCGGAAAGCAGCCATACCCTGACTGGTGCCGTCTGCTAAAATGAACTTCTCACGCAGCTCCATGTTGGTCCTTCCTTTAGCTGGATTACACATACACACACACACATACACACACACAAGACGGCACATATGAAAAAAAGAAAAAAAAACAAAGAGGGGGTACTCAATCATTGATGGCAAGGACGACCACCTGGCACCAGAGATCACGCTGAAAATCTCAAGAGCATCTTTTTGCCATGCCAACTCCAACTCAGCATAACAAAAAGCTAAATGCATTCCTTGCCAATGCATTCCTTTTGGGTACAAGTGAGTTTGGGGAGGAAAGAAAAAAGTGTGCTTATTCTAACACTAGACACCAGCAAGAATAACCACTATTAAAAAAAGAGTCACCATGAAAATGGAAAGCTCATGCTAAAATACTGTTAATCCACCAGCTACTGATGCCCACATGGTTTCATTACCCTTTCACCACACACAGAGAAGACAAGGCAGTAAGGCAGGGACTGTGTCTTTTGCATGTACTATTCAGGTCAGGAGAATGCCAGTATTTTCACATTGGAATTAATTAAACAATTGAATTATACAGAGTGAGAGACGGCTTGTTAGTCATGATGACAACATGTAAGCTTCCAGATTTTTCACTTAAGGACAGCAGCTAGTATTTTTATTTTATGCATTGAAGAACTGCTTTTACCAACATGCAATAACAAACACTAGACCCAAGGGTCCATGAGGTAACCAGTGATGCAGCACGCACACAAACACATATGCACACGGAGAACACGCCACACGAACTCAGTGAGCAACGTGTTAGCACGTGTTCCATCACTTACAGAACTCCTGCATGTGCAACACACAGGCAGTGTGTCAAATTTTCAGAATTTAAATTTGGAAGCACCAGCTCAGTTGGATATGAATTAAGCCATACATGGTGGATGAAGCATGTTATTTTAAAATAAATGATTAAAGCAAGAATGTAAAAGTAGGAAAGAGAAAAAGGAAAGAAGGGAAAGGCAAAGAGAGGGGTTGCCAACCTATAGTAGGCTGAGTAGTAGTAATTGAAGAGTTTGATTCCGAACGTAACATTTTACTCCCATGATGATGAACTAGAAAAAATGACACAGGATACCAATCACGTTAAAGAATACTGTTAGCAGAAGAAGAAACAAGTACAGTAGTTGACTATGCAAAGGGTGCTCAGATCCAGCCTTTAGCACACATTTTATAAGAAAAGTTGCATCTAGAAAAGAAGCCCTCAATGGTTTGACTCCCTAAGAAAAAGGTTCCTGGAGGCTTTACCAGTCATGCTAACTGTCTCCAAGCAACGCGACAGAAGAGTATCTAGTTCACTTTCTCCATTGCACAGAGCTGCATTCTACCCTAGGTGCACTATTTTCAAAGCAGAATGAAACAGGTGCTTCTGTTCTCATTTTACTCCTCTCCCAGGTGTGTCTTTGGTAGACAGAGAGCAGGGTTACTCTGTGGTTGCATAAGGATCCCTCCTGGCCTTGGCAAAGAGGCCTGCTGACTTCAATAGACCTGTGTATCCAGAGGCAAGCCACCAGCAGCGAAACTGCCCTGGCCTCCCACTGGGTAGGCCAAACAGGCAGTGCTGGCACAAACATTTGTTGTTTTTCTGTTAAAATGTATTCAAATGAGCTCACAGGTGAAAGAAAACGGTAATCATTTTACTGTTTGCTTTGTTTTGAAAGAAAAATGGGCCTACTGAGTAAGTGGTACCTAATTAGAAACCGCAATCAACCAACCACTTGTAATTGAAATCAATTAAGAATTCAAAAATTGACTGCAGGATCTGAAATTAGGAAAATAAAATACCAAGTCAGGGCTCCTGGCTTGGTAAATATGGAGAAAACTTTAGCATTCTGTTTAGATTTCTAATGCTCTAATCTGCAGCTTCGAAGAGTCAAATTAACAGGTGACTATTTTTAAACTTTTTAAGTATTGCCTTCCCCATCTCCTCATCATTTCACAAAAACTCTGATGTTTAAACTTTTACTATCCAGTATTTGCAGTCTTCATTACCTCAATTTTCTTTCCTCTTACTTTGCTATTTAATGACCGATAAAACAAATCTTTTCTTCAGCGGCTATGATTGTTCCTTTGGGAAACTGCAGATGGTACAACCTCATAGAGGAAAATCTATGCCAGTATTTCCTGCTTACTGGCCTCATACTTCTCCATAAGAAGTAAAAGAGAGAGAGGAGAAAGAAAGAGAGGGAGAACATGATTTACATGAGTACTACCACAAATTCTTCGGAAACTCCAGGTTGACAAACCAATGTGAAACATTCCCTATTTAATACATGCCTGACTTCTGCCCTGTACCAGGCGTCTTCAAAGACTTCATGGAAAACAGACATTAAAAAAAAAAAAAAAAAGACTCTGTATGGACTTTAACCTTTTTTGCACTGAAATAACTACTGATCAATGGCATTTCCCTACAAACTGCCTGAAGGACCGTCACACGTTGTACCCTTTCATGGTGTTGATATCTGGAATGAGCGTCTCCTTACCCCTGCAAGGATCATTTTTCACTAAGAACTCATCAAGTGCCATCCATCCACCTCCAACACGGACCATCACAGTACTTCGTAGGATCCGAACCAGCCGTAGTTGCTGGGAGTCTCCAAACTGTGCAAGGGAAAAAAAGAAAGAACCTCTAATTGTCAACAATCATTCTAGACAAAGGAACTAATATGCAATCTGCAGTAGCTTAAGCAACCAACTTTAATTTCTTGCTTAGCGATTAGTAAATTCTTAGAAAAAAAAGGGTCTGTGAATGATCTGCGTTAGACTGCCGCATGCTGATTTAGCCCAAAGGAAACAGTTTGGAAAAATAAAAAGATTACAAAGGTTATCAAGTATAAAATTAAAGCTTTGGTCTAACAATTCTTTTTTCTTTCTTATGACAGAACAACATGAGCAAAGCAGTAATTGAAAAATGTTTCCAGGAATTAAACAAAGGCATGAAAATAAGCACTGGCTTGATAGCCCAGAGCTTATACAAAATGAGATTCCAAGGAAAATTTAATAAACTCCGATTCCTCTTCAAAAAAACTGTCTCTTACAAGAAAACTGTTTTCCACTGAAATCTGTGGGAGAACATTTTATAAACTCATTTTATTTTCTCTAGTTTTGCCATAGAGAGAATAAAGTAGTAAATGAGTATGACCAATAAACATTTCACAGTTATAAATAAATTTGTTAAGTGCTGGATTAATATGCCATTTTAGATTACTATTATTTAAGAATAGCCAATGACATATTATTATTGATAATAGCTTTCAAATCTAAAGGGGTTTCTCTCAAAGCTGTTTGTACCATAATTGTCCACACTAGCAAGCATTCAAACTTTTTTTCTGCCCTTTCAATGGCTCTCCAATTACTTGGATATGCTATAAATTCAGCAAGTCCTGAATAAATTTCTGCACTGTGGGTAGTTCCTGATCATAGATTTGTTTTGAAAACCTGTGAGAAATGATTTTATACTTTCATATCATTTCTAATAGGCTCACGTTCAACTTTTGAAAACCACCATACTGAATTGCACAGTTGCCAACTCAGCAGATAACAAAGCAAAATGAATAGACAATTAAATAGACATAGATTTTTTTTGAAAGCAGGTGAGATACAACTGTGACTGTGACAATTTATTTGTTTGGGTTCATTATGGATAAACAGAAAACTTTAAGTAGAAACCAACTGCTAGTTTCCCATAGCTTTAACATTGAATTTCAGGAAGAGAACCCTAAAACAAAGCCAACCAAATCCCATTCAGGATCCTGAAACTCAGAAGGACCCAGAAAGCATGTGAAATGCACCAGCAGGAACCCATGGTTTTTGTTGCAAAATTTTTAAAATCACTTTTTTCTAAATCTGATTTTAAGTATCGAGACTTAAATGTTTCTGTAATTGAATCTGTTCCTGAAATGAAAATTAAAATTTAAAACTCAAAATAAATATTTATTTTGTTAGAACAAATTTGGTGCTGCTAATAAGCAAAGGGAAGGGAGGGAATTTAAAGAAAATTACCCTTAAGGAACCAGATAATTTAACCGGATAATTATGGTCCAAGATTATGTTTCAAATAAAAGTTTTAAGGAAATAACTGAAAATATTTTAGAGAGATAATCTTTCAACTTTACTAGACAAAATTTTAAAACATATTTTAATCTTAAAAAGACATTCTCCAGACAAGTAACACTGTCTGCAGAATTTCCTTCATCTTCCCAATAACCAACTTCTGAGACAGGAAAAAAACAAACTAATGTTGCTCTTTGGTCCTGCAGTTAATAAAATCATTTGAGGTAAGTATTTCTCTGTTCTCAACAAACACAAGACATTATACAAATATATAAGAATGGAAGAGCAACATTTTAGTATTATAACCAATGGAAGCCTTAAAAATGTCTACTCAAAGTAATTGAGTATTTCTATTTTAAGAAAATCATTTGCTTGCAAAAAAAAAAATGGAGTTAATGGATAATGTGAAACTTGAGATGTAATATACCTTAAAAAGGGAGTGGCAGAGTAATATCCAATCTGATACAGTCAAATACTATAGAAAAGCATGGTTCTTTCCAAAAGCAGACAGTAAAAATATCTTCTCCTTGAACAGGTTTCAATGAAAACACAACTCCTCTTGTCTTAACTTTCAAAATTCTGATCAGGTTGCAGTACCACTGGGCAATTTATATTGACATGGACATCAATATAAACATTTTGCCAGGATAGCATGAGATTTTTGTCTAAGTTCCACACAGAAACTTCCCTCAAAATGACTGATGTCACTTAAAAGCTCCAGTTAACATTTCTACTCAAAGGATGTAAATCCCTAAATCAACAACTTAGAACAAATGGAAAACTGCTGCTTTAGAAAGAACACGCAACTTGTGGCTAAATGCCATGCAGACTTCTCAGTATTTTGATGCAAATCCTTCTCTGATACTGTGTACCATATGTCCTAGATAGTTAGAAACCAATGAGGCTACAGAGATATGTGTGGAGAATCAAATTTGTGTTCCAATGAGTACTGGCATAAAATATATGCTAATAGTATTATTAAACATGGGAACTGAAAATTGCATTTGTAACACTGTAGCCAACTGTGCTACAATTCATTATCTGGTTTGCTTAAAAGTAATCTCCTCATTTGAGACACAAGGCAAAAAGGAATCCTTGATGAAGGACCCTTCGAGTGCTGACAGAAACACCACGCCAACCAACAATGTAGTAGCTAGGGAGACAGCATGGGAAAGATTGGCCATGGCAAGCTTTAATGACTATGAATTAAAGATTGGAAAAAAAAAATCATTGGGAACTTGAGAATACATTCCACTGGTTTATACCTGATTTCCCAGGAAGAACTGATAAAAAAAAAATGAAAAATGGAAGAAAGACACAATTAGTTCAACAGGAAACTATCTGTATGACTCTAGAACACACACACACACACACACACACACACTCACACTCTCACACTCTGGGCTCTGGATATAGTACCTAGGTTAGAGAAGTGCAGGTACCCTGTTGTCCCAATTTCAAACCAAGTAAGCAGAGCAGTTTTGCTATGATTCTTTTTGGAAATCTTACATTTCAAATTTAAGTTAAGATTTTGAACATGTAGACAAATACTTTCCAATTTGGAAATATAAAACTAAAATAAATAATGTTTCATTTGTAACACATTGTTAATAGGGAAACACTGCACATTTCCTGTCCAGTTACTACATAAAGAGATGTTCCAAAAGAGAGAAACAAAATCAGAGAAAGAGTGATGAAGTCACATTGTTTTTCTGTTTTGAGGGAAGTGAACCAAGTTATAGAGGTTTTTGAATAAAAGAAAAATAAGTGCGCAACTAGAAAAAATACTGCTTCTTCATATTTATAAAAATGAGTCAATATTTTTAACTGTAGATCTGATTTGGAATATCTTTGTTGTTTGAAATCTGAAAAGTTACCTCTAACCATAAAAAATATAAAGTAATGTACAGCAACCTAAATACATGACATCTGTGTGTTTTCCTGTGAGTAATTTTCTCCTTGAAATTAAAATGCAGATTATAATTGTCAAAAGTATGTCCTAATATGTAAAACTCAGACTTTATAGAAGTTGTAATGCAAATGTTTGAGGTGAGAATAGATTCCCTACAAAACAATGCAGACGAAATTGTACACAGATTTGATTTTATACCCTTTAAAGGAACTGCAAGGTTACTTTGGAAACTTACCCTGTATTTGTTATCACCAATCTGTTCAACTTGAAATCGTTTTGCACATTTACACTTAGCTACCTGCCTTGTCACCTGCCAAAAACAATGATGAAATATTCACTTTAATGTTAATATTACAGAGTGGAATCCTTAAAACTTTGACACAACAAGTAAACATGGAAACAAACGAAATGGTTGCATGAATTGCACATGACATCCTGGCAGAACACACTATTACTGTTGTAGGCAGTCAAAAGAAAAGTGAATACCTCATCTTCAATTTTGTCAGCATCTGTGATGGGTTTATATGCATCTTTATTTGGGTGGAGGGCTGCTACAAACTCATAGTAGTCGATGTATCCGTCACCATCTCTGTCAAAGATGTCTGCAACCGCACTCATCTCCAGGCGACTTGTTGGGAACTCTTAAGATTTTTGAAACAACAGTAAGCAGTTAAATTGTCAATTTGATACCAAGACATTCTTGACGGCACATTTTGATCTCACTGTGGCTGGCTGAATACTAGAGATATCAAATACATTAAAATTCTTTCCAAAAACACAAATTTAGCACTGGGTGTTTAACCTAGTGGTAAAGATGCCCATGCACCACATCAAGTACCTGGATTCAATTCTGGGCTCTGGCTCCTGACTCCAGCTTCCTGCCAATGCAGACCCTGGGCAGGAACAGGTGATGGTTCCAAGGGTCCCTGCCACCCATATGGGAAATCTAGATTGATTTCCCAGATCCCAGCTTTGACTCTACCCAGTCCTAGCCATTGCAGGCACATGGGGGTGGGGGATAGAGAGTGGTAAATCAACGGATGGGTTCTCTCTCTCTCTCTGTGAGCTCCTCCCATCTCATCTCTCAAATTAAAACCAAACAAACCTAATTTGAATCATAAAAAGGAACTGCTATATATATATGTTTCAATTTATCTTTAATTGCTACTAGGGTAAAGCACATGAAAATGCTGGTTTTGTAGCTTGAAAACCTTTTAAAATCAGCAATTTTATGTGGCTCCACTACTACTCTAGGTGAGGATTAATGAATATAGAATTTACTTTAAGAATGACATCTAGGGGCTGGCATTGTGGTATAATGGGTTAAGCCACTGCCTGTGATGCCAGCATCCAATATGGGCACCAGTTCAAGGCCTGGCTGCTCTACTTACAATCCAGCTCCCTGGTAATGCACCTGGGAAGGCAGTAGAAGATGGCCCAAGTCTTTGGGCCCCTATACTCATATGGGGATGAAGCTCCTGGCTCCTGGCTTCTGGCTTTGGCTTGGACCAGCCCTGGCTGTTACAGCCATTGGAAAGTGAGCCAGAAGATAGAAGATCTCTCTCTCTCCCCCCCCCTCTCTCTCCCATTATGTAACTCTGCCCTTCAAATAAACAAAACAAATCTTCTTTTAAAAAAGAATGATATCTAATATCATTTGTTAGGTCAACACATACAAATGATTGAAACATATAACAAGAAGATAACAATTTAAGAATATATATAGGGTTGTAATATCCTCTTAATGACCATGTTAGATGAGAATATGAATTAGAATGAAAAAAAAAAAGGACTTGCATTTAGTGACTTATTATTACATGCTAGGTAACGTAAAAAACTTAAGAATCAAATATTACTCTCTGAATTATATGAATGGGAACACAGCTCACAGCTTCAGTGGAGTGAAAGAATGTATCTGTCAGATGATTCATAAGTGTATCTGATCCAGAGACATGCATTTTACTGACACTTTTTAAAAGAGTGGTGACTTCCAAGTCAACTTTAATGGTAATGCTATAGTAGTACATAAACTTAATGGTCTTAACAATTTTAAACTATGCCCATGCTCTTTAAAAAATTACACCACTCAGCACAGCAGGTAAAGCCACTGCCTGCAGTGCTGGCATCCCATATGGGCGCCAGTTCTTGTCCCTCCTGCTTCATGTCCAATCCAGCTCTCTGCTATAGCCTGGGAAAGCAGTAGAAGATGGCCCAAGTCCTTGGGCCCCTGCACCTGTGAGGGAGATCTGGAAGAAGCTCCCGGCTCCTGGCTCTGGCTATTGCGGCCATCTGGGATGTGAATCAGCATATGGAAGACCTCTCTCTCTCTGCCTCTGCGTAACTCTGCCTTTCAAATAAATAAATCTTTAAAACAAACAAACAAGCTACACCACTTACAGTACCTTATATGGGACTTACTTGAGGAAAGAATTCCATCAATAAATTCCTGTCGGGTTATTTTCCCATCCTGATCTTTATCAATTCTCCTGAAGAAGTCCATCACTCGAGATTTCTTATGATTCATCCACCGCATGTATTTTTTACGCCAGATATCAAAATCAAAGTTAGCAAATTCCCTCAGCTGAAAGGGGTAAAAGCATTTTGCTGGAGGTTAATGCTGTGCTCACAGTACATCTTATACTATTTGAATAAATTCATCTAGGTAATATATATATTATTCCTATTTCAAAGAAATGTAAGATCTTGCAAAGGGGACTCAAAACCACTTTTTTTTTTCCTGTAAAACTTATTTCACTAACATCATTGACTTTTATTTACAAATAAAATACCTCAAGACAGAAACTGAACATTTTTTTCTGTTGGTTTTAACTTTTTAAATTTATATAAAGGGAACAAATCTCATGTATGTCATTCATACAGGTTTAAGGGCATAATGCTACTTCCCACTCTATCCTCCTAACCTTCCTCCCACACTCCTTCTTCCTTCTTTTCTTATTTTTCTTTTAAATTTTACAATGACATACTTTCAGTTTACTTTATACTCACAAGCTTAAACCTCCACTAATTAAAGAATTCAACAAGTAGTAAGTAGAAAAACCACTGTTCCTTAGGAGTACAGACAAGGGCTACAAAGAATAATCAAATCTTAAAATGTTACTTTCACTCAAACACCATACTTTTTTTTGTACTCTGTATACTAGTTACCACAAATCAGGGAAAACATGATATTTGTCTTTTGGGGACTTATTTCACTAAGCATAATGCTCTCCAGTTGCGTCCATTGTGTTGTGAAAGACAAGATTTCATAAAATTTCTAACACTAAAGCTACAAAGGACCACCACGCGTCTTATGCTCATCCGTGATGGCAGGCCCAGCTCAACAGCACATACAGTAAGCCTACACCCTCTTCCCTTTTTCACTATCTTGTGACTCCCTTAGACTTTTAAAAATTGCCCAGTTTCAGAAGCTAAAACTCAGGTCACAGAACATACACAATTAAAAGTTCTGAATGATAGATGAATATGCTTGCCAAATAATATTATCAGCAAATATGTGAGATTTTTTTTCTTAAGGAGTCACTTTCTGATTGTTCAAACATAGAATTTTTAAAAAAATTTATTGATCCCCTAAATCCAAATCCCAGGTATCAGTTTTTCACAAAATATGTGTATTTGTGGTAAGCATTTTGGAAGTAAAACATACTCAAGCAACAAGAGTCTGCTTATCAATTCTCAGAAAAGTAAAAAATAATCCATATTTCTGCAGTGTGTTTTGATGAATGAGAGAAAATGACAATCACAATGAGCACATGAGTTTCCTGACCTCCTCCAGCCTGTCCAAGGCGTCATTGAGCTTCCTCCTCCTTTCCAACGCCAGGAGCCAGACTTGCTGCCATTTGCTCACCAGTAAGTTTACCCTGGGATTCTTGGTTTCAATTTGTGTCTGAGATCCAGAGGGATACAGGCTTGATGCTGGGAAACGTTTTCCTGTTGAAACACAGCTGTAGTTAGGGTGGCAGAGTTTCCAGGGTTCTGATACATGTTAAGCCTTCACCATTTCTGTTTCTAGCTGAGGCCAAATTGACTTAGTGGATATCACAAGTAATAATATCCTTATTGAGAAGGTACATATACTATGATGATCTGAATCTGGTTTCTTAAAAGGAATGATCACACACTCTTCATATAGAGAAGCATCTCAGCAGAAGTACTTCAGTAATGGAAAGCTCTCAATAAATTTACGCTAACACTTTCCAGCTTCCAATCCATGCTGTTTCAATGACCATGAGGTGGGCTGTGATCATTCTCCCTGTTAAGAGAAGATGAAAGAAATCTCCCAGGGCAGAGAGAGATAGCTCAGAATCAGTCATGGCAAACCGAGCTTTTTAAGTAGAAGGCTGGAAGGGAAGAGACACTGGCCCATCACTGGAGTCAGCAAGATGCTTTCCAAATCCTAATCAAATGTGGAAGGCTTACTGGACCTTATCTTTCACCCCAGCCTCTTTTCCACTGAGATTGTGTGCTGCCTGTGCATAGGCTCATATTCAAGTTCACTGCCATACTAAAGTTCTCCTACCCTTTCTGGCTGTTTCACATGAGTTTCTGTAACTTTACAAAACAACTATCACATATGTCCTAGAGAAACTAGTGGTCTACAGACACAAAATGCTGGTGTGCCAGCTGTGATTCGTGTCAACAGCTGACATTCACTGGGCATTTAACTACATAACTGGAGGTATGCTGAGCACTTCCTAGGCAGTAGCTCCCTTAACTCTCCCCACAATCCAACGAAGTCAAAATGATCCCCTTCTACGGCAGAGGAAACTGAAACCCAGGAGTCTAAGTGACTCATCCGGACTTAACGCTTCCCAGCTGGCGAGTGGCAGGGCCAATCAGAGAGTCTGACTCTGATGTTACCTTGTCTCCCTGGGAAATACAGTAATTATGACAGCTCTGACCTCACTTTTTTTTAAATTAAGGAACCATTCAGGAATACACAAAATGTACAATTTAAAGTGTACTTCTTTTAAGTCTTCTCCAAGCTATTATCATGTACTTATACTCATTTTGTTGGGTTAAGAAACCCCCATAGACAGTAAATACAGCCTGAAGTCACATGAACACAGGTAACAGCTATGAAAAATTGGGTCAGTTTATCCACATTATGACATTTTTGTTATGTTCAGCGTTAATATTATTTATATATTAGGAGGAAAAATAAACTATTTAAAGAAAATGGTGCTCTTGTTACAAATTTTTTTTCCAGTTTCTTCTTGCTAATTAAAAAGACACCCTTCAAAATAACAAAAGTAAATACAGAAACCTGGATATAACTTTTTAATTTTTTCAACAAGTAGCTATAAAACTTGAGCCCACTTAATCTCTCAAGAAATGTTTTTATGATAGAGCTCAAATGCAGAATCACCAATCACTCCCACATTTTAAACAGTAACTCAAAATAAAAGGAGACTGGCCTCCTCATTTAACAATCTTTGTCTGAAAGAAACGGCACTGCTTACTTCCTGCTCGCCCCTTATCCAAGACTGGAATATGGGACTGTAAGGAGGAAGGATCAGCTGCTCTCCTCTTGTAGGTCTTGGTAACTTTATCAACATCGGGCTGTTTTCTGGTCATTTCTTCCATGAAGGTCTGAAATGGGGAAAAAATATGATGTTGGTTAAAAGAGAGTCTGCCCAGAGAAAATCCTCTTTTGAAATGAACTAAAAGCAAAATGATAAAATGATCATGCTATTATTCCTGCAGAAGAATAAAGCATCACATTTTAGATCGGTGGTGGTGGGGTGGGGGTCTGAACCACCATAATTTAGTATTAATTAATTTTGGAAGAATGTTAAATATTATAGCTGCAAAGAGAGTGACTTAAAATTAGAAACTAAAAGGACTTATTTCAGCGTGAAGACCAGCAGTGCACAGCTGTGTAAATGATATAACTCGTCTATGCCCCAACCAAGGACAAACCTCCACACTCTTCCCAAAGAACCTTAGGAAACATCTGTCTCATACAGAACAGCTGGGCACTCTCTCGGACTGTTCAGTGGCACATTTCACCTACATCATTGAAATACTTAAGATAATCTTCATATACAGGGATATCATACACCATGTTACATGAAAATATATCAAAAACTTACAAGTAAGTGACTTTGACTCTACTGTATGGCAAAGTTAGGTTAATGGTTATTATGTTTACATGGAAAGGGTTTGACTGTTTTGTCATCATTTTTCATATCTCCTTAAGCTGACTGTTGTTATTGATCCCTATACACAGAATGTGTAGCAAAGGCTGAGGAATGGCAGACAGTGGTGAAAAATAATGGGGAGAAAGAGAAGCAGGAAAAAATGACAAGAGAAGTAACACATTTCAGGAATGAAGACCACACTGAAGAACTCTTACCATTTTAATACCTCTGATCACAGACAACATGATCTGAGACATGTCGGGTCATTATGGACATAGATAACACAGTGTATCATTAAAATATAATAATGGCAATCTTAATTGTTTAACCAGCTTGGCGGATACTTAATCTCTCAATGTAAATGCATATTAAACAGGCTAATATGCAGACTGATAAACCAGAATGAGCATGATGCTCATCATTTTAGAGTTTAAAAAATGTAGCATGCACAGGACAAGTAATTTTTCTGAGAAAGACAATGCATCTCCTTTTTGATAAGATGGGTTTGGAGTACCAATGGTCAACTTGGGATACAGATTAGAATGCAAACACAGAGAATTAATTAAAATAAGTTACCAGTGGAAGCCATGGGGATGGGGTGAGATAATCAGAAGAAGGAGTGAAACAAAGGATAAAGTACAGGAGTAAGAAGAGCTATACAGAGACAGGGAGAGATAATACAGCAGTCAAGGTGAGATAGAGCCACATGAGTGTAACTTCACAGAGGCAATAAAAATTATTTTGCAAATAACACAGTGGGTGACTCAACAGGGAAGTGTTAAGGAAATGGCAGATTTAGAAACCAAGAAGTATAGAAGCTGAGGAATATGTTTGAGGATATAAAGGTACCCAACACAAAGCAATCATTTGAGAACTATAGCAGTGGAAGAAAAAATACCTGAGACAATGATTAACAGGGACTGGGATTAAATTTACTTTACCTGGTGTTCTGCAATGAGGGCTTTCACCTCTTCAATCTCCTGGGGGATGACTTCTTTATCCTTATCAGTAAGTGTAGTTTCTGCCCATTGCAACCAAGCCAGCAAAGCTTCCAACAGTTCCTGTTTAGCAATGAGCCCAGCCAGAGCACTTGCTAATCTCTGCTGATGTTGCTTTGCCCAGGCAAGCACCTGTTGGACAAACCAAAATTTGTCTAAGTTTCTTCCAACTACACAAATGTTAAATATAAACTGGGATCATTGTGGACTAGACCCATGATGCTTCCAATCTTTCTAGATTCTATTAATGGTACCAAGATTCAGCTTGAGGAAGCTATGAAAGTCCTCTATCATGTTTGTCATCTGAGAAAGTTTAAAGATGCCAATCACTCACACCTCCTTTGGCATTTTAATGAAAGTCCAAATAAGGATTCTCTGAAGACCACGTATGCTTACTCTATGAGTACAAACTAAAAAGATAAGATCTTAAATAGAGAATTAATTCATTTTATGTATAGAAATTCATTCTATAAGTACACATTTCTCTGAAATACTATTATTAAACAGATGCAATATGTTTATGGGAAAGAAGTTTTGCCACGAACCAAATAACAGCCTTCTAACATTTCAGCAACATAACGGCAAAATTCCTTTTACTTTTTAAAGAAAAGTAAATTGCAAAAGACTAGTAAAACAAAGAAGAAGCGTATTTTCAGAAATATGTTCTAAGTAGAGGCCTTATTTTCCCACAGTTGTGAAGCAGACACACTGACCTCCTCAAACCTGGCCCGGATGATGGTTATCCAGTGCTTGATGGTGGTGATGGAGTCAGGGTGGCAGATGGCCAAAACAGCATCGCCCATGTTGGTGGCTTTATTTAGTTCAGCTCTTTTCTCTTCCAGTTTCTTCATGAATTCCTACAGCAGAAGCAAAGACTTCAATCAGGTGTTGGCACTGACTGAAAACGTAACGCTGGCAACGTTCATCTGAACTGTCAGTTAAATGAGCAACAAAGCACTTTCTGATACATATTTCAAAATACAAAAATAGGATAAAATTTCATGCTTTAAGAAATAAATTATAGGGCCAGCATTGTGGTGCAGTGGGTAAAGCCACTGCCTGAGTCGCTGGCATCCCATGAGGGCAGCTGGCTCATGTCTTTGCTGCTGCACTTCTGATCCAGCTCCTTGCTAATGTGCCTGGAAGCAGTAGAAGGTGGCCCAAGTGCTTGGGCCCCTGCCTCCCATGTAGGAAACTAGATAAAACTCCGGGCTCCTGGCCTCAGCCTGGCTCAACGCTGGCCATTGCAGTTATTTGGGGAGTGAACCAGCAGATGGAAGTTCTCCCTCTGTCTCTGTTTCCCCCTTCTGTCTGTCCATCTCTCTCTTTCAAATAAATAAATCCTTTTTTAAAAAAAAGGCAAGTTACAGAAAAATAACTTTCATTTTGAATATATGGTATTATTAATGGAGAGTAGGAATGAGACAGACAGTATTGTCAGAGATAGAAGCAATATTGATTAGAAGTTTGAACAAATAAGTCAATGAGGTTAGTAATTAAAATAGTTTTAACTGTACCGGGAAAGATAGGAAATATGTACAAAGTATCAATGAAGACAGAAGGCTGGGCAAGGAACTATGCATGTTTGGGGATGGGGAAGAGAAATACCAAAGTATCCCCTTAGATGAAAGCATAAAAACAAAGTGTTCTAGAAGAGCAAACTTGGGTTAATGACACCTGTGGGTCCCCAGAGGACATGTAGTAGGGATCATGCAAAGTCAAGTGTGTTCCACTACAGGGATGGGAGATGCATCATTGCACAGCACAACTGTTGTGTGAACATCACAGAGCCTACTGATGCAAACACGACGGCTACAACATGACTAAGCATATCATCTTTTTTATTTATTTATTTATTTATTTATTTATTTATTTATTTATTTATTTTTGACAGGCAGAGTGGACAGTGAGAGAGAAAGACAGAGAGAAAGGTCTTCCTTTGCTGTTGGTTCACCCTCCAATGGCCGCCGCGGCCGGCGCGCTGCGCTGATCCGATGGCAGGAGCCAGGTACTTATCCTGGTCTCCCATGGGTGCAGGGCCCAAGGACTTGGGCCATCCTCCACTGCACTCCCTGGCCACAGCAGAGAGCTGGCCTGGAAGAGGGGCAACTGGGACAGAATCCGGCGCCCCGACTGGGACTAGAACCCGGTGTGCCGGCACCGCAAGATGGAGGATTAGCCTAGTGAGCCGCGGCGCCGGCTAGCATATCATCTTATGTCTACCACTGTGTATGCGGTCCACCACTGATCATCATGATACACAGTGCACAGCTATGTACTGGTAATCACTCTTACACCAAGAAGAGCCAAGGGTGATGGTGGACTGGACCATCAACTCCTCACCTCATTCTGTGCTCTTCTAGTCTAGTGTGCGTGTTACCTCAGTGGTTTGTACCTACATGGGAAAGCCTGCTATTTTTAGAAACTGGATTACAATAAGAACTAATCCTGGTGCTAAGAAATTCAATTAAATATCCTGTTTCTCTACAACTGGTGAATGAACATATAAAGGGAAGCAGAGGAAATGAATGAGAAATGTTATGGTAAAACACTGTTACTAGGAAGCCGTTTATAAAATTATGGGTAATCCTGTGCTTTTAAGAACAGTTCATTGTACAAATTACTCTTCTGCTGAAGATACTTGCCTCCCGGGGTTCCCAGGCGCTGTGGTGAGAGTGCTGATACCACAAGTAGGCTACTTTCTAGAGGGCTTTAGATGTGTACTGTGGGCTTTTGTCAATGGAACACAGAGCTGGCTGATGGTCAGCCCATGGCAACAAAATAAAAATTAGATTTTCAAAATACTGAACTAGATACAAAATGATTAATTTGACATGATTTTCCTATTATAATTCAGGCTTCAAATTTAAATGGTATATGAAGCATTCTATTCCTCTAATGCTATCCATGCTTGCCTACTTTCATTAATGACAAGATAATTATTCACTGCTACACATTAGGCCACGCATGTCTGAGAGATGCCATGCATTTGAATAAGTCTCTATGGTGATGTCATCTATACAATACATTAGAGTTAATATGTCTACCTTCACCTTGAAAGACAAGGTTATTCAGTGGTATTAAAAATATCCTTTAAAGTTAATAGGAAGTGCTGACATCAATACTATATTGAACATTAGAACTGTAAATTTCCAATTTTTAAGTCAAAGGTTTAAAAACATCAGTTAAGAGTTATCTGGACCACTCTCATAAAAGTCTTTCCAAGATCCATGTCTTGCCATAGGAAAGATGTTGAATTGAAAATTCTGGATAAATCTTTACTTGGATAGTTATTCAAGAGTACATATACTTAAAGAATTCTTTTTTTAATGTAGGATACTTTTTATTTATTTATTTATTTATTTTTATTTTTTGACAGGCAGAGTGGACAGTGAGAGAGAGAGACAGAGAGAAAGGTCTTCCTTTGCCATTGGTTCACCCTCCAATGGCCGCCGCGGCCAGCGCGCTGCGGCCGGTGCACCGCACTGATCCGATGGCAGGAGCCAGGAGCCAGGTGCTTTTCCTGGTCTCCCATGGGGTGCAGGGCCCAAGCACCTGGGTCATCCTCCACTGCACTCCCTGGCCACAGCAGAGAGCTGGCCTGGAAGAGGGGCAACCGGGACAGAATCCGGCGCCCCGACCGGGACTAGAATCCGGTGTGCCGGCGCCGCTAGGTGGAGGATTAGCCTAGTGAGCCGCGGCGCCGGCCGATACTTTTTTTAAAAAGATTTTTTTATTTACTTGAAAGTCAGAGTTACACGAGAGAGAAGGAGAGGCAGAGAGAGAGAGAAAGAAGTCTTCCCCCATCTACTGGTTCTCTCCCCAGATGGCTGCAACAGCCGGAGATGCGCCAATCCGAAGCCAGGAGCCAGGAGCTTCCTCCAGGTCTCCCACATGGGTGCAGGGGCCCAAGGACTCAGGCCATCTTCTACTGCTTTCCCAGGCCATAGCAGAGAGCTGGATCGGAAGTAGAGCAGCCGGGACTAGAACCAGCGCCGATATGGGATGCCGGCACTGCAAGCGGTGGCTTTACCCGTTACTCCACAGCACCGGCACCCAGAATTCATTTTTAAAATCTATACTTTATACTTCAGTTTACTTCTAAAAGAATTTAAACAGATTCTTGATAAAAAAACAGACTATTGATTAAAAACAGTGGGTTAAGTTGTCACTTGGGGTGCCCCATCCCATACAGGACTACCAGCTCTAGTCCTGGCTACTCTGCTTCTGACCCAAGCCCCTGTTAATCACCAGAGAGGCAGCAGATAATGGCTCAAGTACTTGGGTTCCTGCCACCGACATGGGACACACAGGTGGAGTTTCAGCTCCTGCTTTCAGCCTGGTCTGTTGTGGCCATTTAGGGAGTGAAAAAAATGGATGGAATCTCCCTCTCTCTCCTCCTCTGTAACTTTGCCTTTCAAATAAATAAGTAAATAAATTATTTCTTTTTAAAAGAAGTTCCAGAAACTTAAAAATAAAATTTTTAGGTTGAGTGATTAAATTATTTGCTTGTGTTTATTACAAAGGTCAAAGTTAGGGGCTGGCACGGTGGCATAGGAGGTGAAGCCAGCACCCGTTTGAATCCCGGCTGGTTTGAGTTCGAGTCCCATATGGGCACTGGTTCAAGTCCTGGCTGCTCTACTTTTGATCCAGCTCTCTGCTGTGGCTTGGGAGGAAAATGGAGGATGACACAGGTCCTTGGGCCCCTGCACTCTTGCGGGAGACTCAGAGGAAGCTCCAGGCTCCTGGCTTCAGATCAGCCCAGCTCCAGTCATTGCAGCCATCTGGGGAGTGAATCAGCAGATGGAAGACCTATCTCTGCCTCTGCCTCTCTGCAACTCTGCCTTTCAAATAAATAAATAAATCTTAAACAAAAAAAATAGTTAGGGGCCAGCACTGTGGTATAGTGGGTAAAGCTGGTGCCTGGGATACCAGCATCCCACATGGGTACTGGTTTGAGTCCCATCTTCCCTACTTCTAATCCAGCTCCCTACTACTGCTCCTAGGAAAGCAGCAAAGGATGATAGACTAGGTACTTGGGCCCCTGCACCCACATGGGAGATCCAGAAGAAGCTCCTGGCTCCTGGCTTCATCCTGGCCCACCTCTGGCCACTGTGACCATTTGGGAAGTGAACTGGCAGATGGAACATTCTCTTCCTCTGTCTCTCTGTAACTCTGACTTTCAAATAAATAAATCTTTTAAAAATGCAAATGTCAAAGTTAATAATTTACAGTAATAGCAGAATAACTATATAAAGGTCAAACATATTGTTAAGGATATGTTTTAAAATCCACATAAAATGCAAAAACTCCCTGAAAACTACTAATGGCTTCATAGAGATAGAAATCAGAATGACTAATTGTAGAATACCCATCTTTTCTAAGAAAAAAAAAAAAACATAAAAAGACAGCTACACTTGCCAATGTGCAGGTACAGAGGGACACATGTAGGTTAGAAAGTAAAACACAGAGCCATTCTCAGAACAGATGTTTAACCACTTCTGGGGGTGGGGAGAATATGCATGCAGGGTATATTTGCAACCCTGAGTCTATTTTGTTTACTTTCTTGATTTTTATTTTTTTTTTATTTTTTTTTTTTTGTATAAACTTCTAGTTAGCATTTTTTTTTAAACTTTTATTTAATGCATATAAATTTCCAAAGTACGACTTATGGATTACAATGGCTTTCCCCCCATACCGTCCCTCCCACCCACAACCCTCCCCTTTCCTACTCCCTCTCCCCTTCCATTCACATCAAGATTCATTTTCGATTATCTTAATATACAGAAGATCAGCTTAGTATACATTAAGTAAGGATTTCAACAGTTTGCTCCCACACAGAAACATAAAGTGAAAAATAATAGATGATTTTTTTAAATGATGATGAAATCAGAGAAGACCTATTGTCATGTTTAATCCCAGTGAGAGTCAAGTTGGGAATTGATAATTTCTTTCTTTCTTTTTTTTTTTTTTTTTACAGAGGATCAGTTTAGTATGCATTAAGTAAGGATTTCAACAGTTTGCACCCCCATAGAAACACAAAGTGAAATATATTGTTTGAGTACTCGTTATAGCATTAAATCTCAATGTACAGCACATTAAGGATAGAGATCCTACATGAGGAGTAAGTGCACAGTGACTCCTGTTGTTGACTTTACCAATTGACACTCCTGTCTATGGCATCAGTAATCTCCCTATGCACCAGTCATGAGTTTCCAAGGCTATGGAAGCCCTCTGAGTTCTCCGATTCTTATCTTGTTTAGACAAGGTCATAGTCAAAGTGGAGATTCTCTCCTCCCTTCAGAGAAAGGTACCTCCTTCTTTGAAGACCTGTTCTTTCCACTGGGATCTCACTCGCAGAGATCTTTTGCCAGAGTGTCTTGGCTTTCCATGCCTGAAATACTCTCATGAGCTTTTCAGCCAATGCCTTTAGGGCTGATTCTGAGGCCAGAGTGCTATTTAGGACATCTGCCATTCTATGAGTCTGCTGAGTATCTCACTTCCCATGTTGGATCACTCTCCCCTTTATTTACTCCATCAGTTAGCGTTAGCAGGTACTAGACTTGTCTATGTGCTCCCTTTGACTCCCAGTCCCTTCACCATGACCAACTGTGAACTGAAACTGATCACCTGGAACAGTGAGATGGCATTGGTACATGCCACCTCGATGGGATTGAATTGGAATCCCCTGGTATGCTTCCAACTCCACCACTTGGGGCAAGTCAGCCTGAGCATATACTACTCACTTTATGCTGATCAATGAGAGTCCTGAGGGCATCCTCATCGTCTGGGAGAACACCATGGAAGCGCAGGGTTTGCTCCGCCTCAGCCAGCCACTCCAAGAGGGCATGCACCACCGAGTGGAACTCCTCTGCCTATCAGTTCACACACACACATGCACATGTGTGCACACACGCACAACAAAGAAGATTCCAGATATGTCCATCAGTAAGATTGACAGAACCGCACATTAGATTCCTCCCCTCAATGAAAAAATCAGTCTTAAATTACAATTATATGCATTAACCCCCATAAATAAGATAAAAATACAGGGTGCTGCGTTTTACAGATGTGAGGACACTGTGGATGTATCAAAAGGCTCCTAAGAAGAGTAACTCTCCACTGCCTCAAGTCGACTGTGGAGGAATGGCACACCACGATACTTTCAAGCTGCAAAAAAATGACTCAAGCAGTGCTTCTATGTGAGGATAAGAAACCTCTCCTTCTGCGAGTTAAGTTCAACTCTTGGGGAGGCGGCGGGGAAGGACGGAGGCAATGATGTTATGTGCATTTCCTTCTCCAAGACTGTCCTGGTTGAAAAATGAGGAACTTCATGGTGTTTTACTGGACCAGTTCTTGGGGAACTTTCAATACCTTTCCCATTACACCCAGCTATCACTGCCGTGATGGTTACCTGACGCAGGGCTGCTTCCAGTCGCGTCTGCTTTGATATGGAAAGCGCACACACCGTCTCCCAGCGCGTGCTCAGCTCCTGCATCTGCACCTTGACCCAGGAGGAGTCGTCCCGACTGCCTTCTATGAGCTCTCGGGCAGAGCGCTTCAGGGCCTGCACACTGCTGGTCCTCTTCCCCAGCTCTTTCTGGAAGACCTGGGAAGACCATATTTTCAAGAATTAAATTTTAATTACAAAAACAGCAAAATTTTCTGTTTTGAAATACATATGTGTATAAAACATCATGTCCAGCTATCTAAGACCCACAGTTTAATGACCATATTTTTGGCACCATTTTCAAATTATAAAAATGATATCTGCTCATTTCTAAGGCCTTTTATGCCAGCAGTTACACTGGCTGTTTTTTGGCTACAGATTTAATTCACAGACAAGGCCAGGGTTCTGCAGTTCTGACCCAAGATTCTGGATATGCAACTGGATTTTTCAAGTAGCCAACCTCTATCTAGAACAAAATTAAGTTATTTTTCAAAAAAAAAGTCATGAGAGATGAATATTAGCATTTGGCTATGTCTATGTGTTTCTATTCTGATACTCAGATCATTCACAAAACAAGTCCATCAAAGGCAATTTGGATATGGTGTTAAGAGTTCTTTGCGACCGGCACCGCAGCTCACTAGGCTAATCCTCTGCCTTGCAGGGCTGGCACACCGGGTTCTAGTCCCGGTCGGGGTGCTGGATTCTGTCCCGGTTGCCCCTCTTCCAGGCCAGCTCTCTGCTGTGGCCAGGGAGTGCAGTGGAGGATGGCCCAAGTGCTTGGGCCCTGCACCCCATGGGAGACCAGGATAAGTACCTGGCTCCTGCCATCAGATCAGCGCGGTGCGCCGGCCGTGGCAGCCATTGGAGGGTGAACCAACGGCAAAGGAAGACCTTTCTGTCTCTCTCTCTCACTGTCCACTCTGTCTGTCAAAATAAAAAAAAAAAAGCGTTCTTTGCCTGATTTCACCCTGATGATGTTAAAGGTGATGTGTCTGCAAAAAGATACATACACATGTGCACAGAAAGTACAGAATCTAAAGATTCTATTTGTGATGGACTAGTCCAACAGTTCTGCATTGCACACTCTTAAATTTCTTGAGCTTTCCAATTGTAGCACTGATTCTAAAGGATGAAGTCACTCTTGATGATCAAAAAATCTGGTAATTGCCTACAGTAGTAAATATTTAGACAGTGAGCTTACAAAAATGGTATTTATGTAAAGAGCAACATTATGCTAACGATTGATCATTGAATGAAAGTCTGGAAGCGGAAACGCTGTAGTAATCATGGGTAAAACAGGTATTTGTGTCAACACAAGCAAGGCAATTTTTAAAACACTTAATTTTTATACAGTGATCTTGACTTATTCTTTTACTTTCTGTTACTACTCAAGTATAACAAACTTATGTGTAAAATCATAGAATAAAGACAAAAAAGGGAAATAAATTTGCTGAAGAATGGGTAAGATCAGAATAGTATAATTAGGAGGTATTGAGAACATGATAAAATGAAATACATTTTTTGTAGCCAAAAACCATCCATTATAAAGGAAACAACATGAATTTGAGTGATATCAGATACTTGCATATAAAGTTAACTCTGATAAATCATTCCACAATGGTACTTGTGTTTCATATTGTTTCCAAGTCCTTTTATTATATTACTTGATGATAATTAAGGGCTTTACACTTATTATCAGCTGGATATTTCGATTATTATCTTCGATTTACATGACAGTTTTAATATATGACATAGGAGAGTGTAATGTAAACAATTTTCTTGGTGTAAATAATAAGCAAAACCCTCATAGCCTATTTGATGGACAAATTGCTGTAGCTCAAAAGGAAAGGTTAAAACATTTTTTTTAAAAAAAGCAGCTGAGTATGACCTCCATGGGTCATGTCACAAATCTACACATTTATGCCATGACCTAGTTCCAGGTCACTGAAGAAATGATTTTAAATTTTATTATGTAATTGTTTAAATGAATAACCAAAGACAGTAAGATGTTCTTGAAATATGTTTTAATGAACTACAGAATGAGATGCCTTCTAAGTTCTAAAAGGTTTTAGATCTGGTCATTAAAGGCTAAAGTGTTTCTCTGATTCTAATCTTTTCCTGTCACTTCTAAATCTGGCTTATAGATTCTGCTTAAACACACACATGTGTTAACAATAAAATCATTATGTGGCATGATATTTAGTCTCCTTGTTTTAAAATGTTAATATAAGTGGTTACATTTACATCTATGCTCAGAATAATCAAATAAGATAAATTAAAATGTCCTTGATAATACTACCTTGTGATTATCGATCAGATTCATCACTAAATCAATGTCTCCATGGACAGGCTGGTCTTCTGCTAGTTGGGGTTCAACTCTATATAACCAATCAATGAGAGCCTGCAGGGCATCTGTGAATTGTCCAGAAAATAACAGAGCTTCCTCCAATTTGTTTTGTCTGGAGAAAAAAAGTGGAATAATTATTCTTAATAATGAAAAAGCTGCCCTCATACATATGAACATGTTAAATTCATCAAGAAGGTTGAGAGGTTCTCAAGAGGAAGAAAAATCAATACATTGGTATTCATTATTGTTTCTTTGCTTTCCTGAGAAAACAACAAAACTTTTCTCAAATTTTCTTTTTATTCCTTAAATACATGGCATCTGTTTCAGGAAATTTCCTTTATTGCATCATTGAAAATCACTAATTCTTTCAATTTCTTCATGGAAATAAGCTCTTTTTAAATTTCGAGCATTTGTTGAATTCTTTATTTATTGGAGCATTAAGCCTTTGAATATAACATAAATTAAAAATGTTATCTCAAAAATTAAAGGAAGGAAAGGAAAAGAAAGGAAGAGAATGGGAGAAGAAGGGAGGGGAGGGGAGGAGAGGGAAGGAGATGAAAAAAAAAGGGAACAGAAGTGGGTAGAAATATCATTAGATTCTTAGAATTGTATCTACGAACCACTTTGTGTCTGTTCTCTTTGTAGTGATACCACACTAACATGATAATTCTGTTGTAGTAATTATCATGTATTTGCTGTGACCCTGACAATGTCACATATTAATAAATTCCTTGAAAAAAATTTTTTAAAAAATTATTTTAGGGGCTGGGTGCTGTGGTATAGTGGGTAAAGCTGCCCCCTGTGATGCCAGCATCTTATATGGATGCTGGTTCTAGACACAACTGCTCCACTTCTGATCCAGCTAATATGCCTGGGACAGCAGCCTAAGATAGCCCAAGCTGTTTGTCATCACTGTTAATTTCTGTCATTTAAAAAGAGTCATAAATGATGTGATTTATATGACATTATAAAAAATCTATAATCTTGAGACAACAGAAGTCAAGATTTTCAAAAATATAACACCATAGAGACTCCGTATGAGGTCCCTAGAACTGAATATGGTATTCCACTTAATCTTCACACTGACAAACATCATTGAGACTAAGGATCAATGACGAATTTGAAAAATATTTACAAGATATTTGAACTGTTCTACTTCTTTTGTGCCTTCTTAAATAATTAAAATTATTGAAATGAATCTTGTGTCTTCAACAAGAGGGAGGTTGGAAAGTGGTGGATGAGGGTTGGAAGAGAACACTACAGGCAGGTTAATATTATCTTGCACACCATCTGAAAGAGCATGCATTTTATTTCATGCCCTAGAGTAAGTCCCCAACGTATATGAAGCAGGAGAATGACAAAAACCCCACTTACATTTTTAAAAACATTATCCTAGTAGTTATACAGAAATTCGATCAGAGGGTGGATAAAAATGGATCTGGGCAGATAGAGATATTTGGTATAGTCAGGTGTGAGATGACAAAATCTTGGAAAATGATAGCTGCTTTTTCTGTGGTACTGATGGCTAAAAAGAAGTCACAACAAATAGCAAGGCTTTCTTGGAACAGAGGCTGTGTGAGTGGGTAATCCAGATTGGGCAGGTTCCCCAGGTGAAGCGGGTATTTAAGGTTCCTGAAATGTCCCTGCAAGGCATCATTACCTTATACTTAAGAGCAGTGCATGGAGTAACCCAACTGTCTGAAAGCACCCTGTACCTTTCCACAGACTTCCCACATATGGTATCCCACTTGTCCCTGAGTTCACTCAGCATGTCGTCTAGTTTCAGGTTGTCATCAGCTAGGGAGGTTTTCTCCTTCAGAGAACGCCCAGTCCTGTTGGTGGTGTCATACACAGAATGCTTGGCTCCGAGTGACTTCTGAAATTCCTGTGTATTTAACAAAAATCAATCAGTCAATGTCGTGACTGGGCATCTCTATTTGGGACTACTAAGCAAAAAGGTCGGAGGCATCACAAGAGGCATTCATGATAAACGGAGTCCAGACACTGAAAGAAGACAACAAGTAATCAAGTCAGTGTGGTGCCGATTTCTACACAACTACTTCAGGCTGGAAAAGCATCTTCAATCTTTGAAATTGGAGAATTTGTTTTTTCTCAAAAGTCAGGTGTCTCTCAAGAGTACCTGTGCTTGTCCAAGAAATAATCTCAAAGCAAGGCCTTAAACCATGAATCTTGCGAAGATGTGAACAACAAACTGTGTCACAGCTGTGATAAAAAGAAATTGCTCATAAACCACTGAAAAACCCAGGGTTTTGAAGTGGAAAATGTCGTCAATACTTTTTGAGTGACTGAGTCCAATGTAGACAGATTGACTTAATAGCTCAGAAGGTCACTATATTTTTGAGTCTGTTGCCCCTCAATCATACTTACTGTCATACATTTTGAATAATTATAACATAGATTCACACAACTTTACCTCTGAGCCAGAATGAAGGGCAAGTAAGAGTCCCATTGTAGACCTTCTGTTTGGATCTATTGCTCATGCTGATCGCAGTGCTTAGAAAGCACACATCCCTCCTCCCCTTCCTGTGCAAAGCCCTACTAAAACCTAAAATACCTACAGACTACTTGTCTAATATCAACTAGCTGGACTGCTAATAGCAGCTGAATATACTCTGCTGCTATCATACTGCTAGCTAGCCTTTTGTGTTGTCTAGGTATATGAGGGTATTTCAAAAAGCTCATGGAAAAGTGGAATTAAAAGACATTTATTTTGGTACAAAACCTTTGAAATTCAAGCTTCTCTTTCTTCAAAATAGCCTTTTTCAATGAACTTTTTCAAGACTCCTTTTATGTATGGGTTCTAACAAAAATTGTACCAAAATAAGCTTATCCTTTAATTTCATTTTCCATTAATTTACTGACGTCCCTTCATTTGTGTATCTGTGTGTGTGTACAGGGGGACATGAGTTCCATTCTTTGTATACAACTTAATTGTAAGATTATGGAGAAAAAGAACACTGTCTTCGTAGGACTGTCTTTATCATCTTACACCTAGTAGGGTTTTAGAAGTAGTTAATACAAAGAATAGAAAAAATGACACGACTGTTATTGACTATACAATTTCAGGGATGAGTAATAAAGAAATTTCTTTTAACGTAATGGGCAGCTTACAAGCTCAAAAGATATCAAGAAAAACTAATACAGTAATTTACATGTTAGTACTCCAGATAGCAAAATACAATGCAAATGCACAATTTTCCAAAATGTTACAAATACCTAATGAGTAATTTTTATTCCCTTTTTTGGCTACCTGCTTTAAATGTTTTAATATGATCAAATCATTTTATCTTGTAATATGAAGCTACAATCTGAAAAATTTTAGGTAATGATACAATTACAATATACTATTTTTTAAATATTAGCTTCCCATGTTATTCTAAAAAAAATTCTAGTGTTTAGAGTATTGACACAGATGCTCTTCACACAGCATATTAATAATAAACATTATAGCTGAATAGAAGATATATTAAAGCTTTCTAAAGGCAAAAGTACCCAACTGACAGACAGAAAAAATTTCTTTTAAAATTGATATAGTGGACTACCCTGCATACGTATCACAGAGATTCTCGCAATAGGTCACACTAGGAAAAACAGAAATTCTATAAGGTTTTTTTGCATATTTTTATTTCTAGGATTTTATATTCATGATATTTTCTTAAGAATACTCGATGCACCATCCATGTGCAAGCTCAAATAAGGCGTTCCACTGTTAGAAGGACACTGATTTTTTTTTCCATCTCAGAGAGGAAGGATGGAAGGTGCTGTTCACTGTCAGTATGCTTCCAATATTGGATGTGGCAGCTCACTGGTGGAGGCAAAAGAATAAGCCATTTATAACTCCTGAGCTAGCTGAATAATAGTTGCTCCATTACGCTCCCTCCCATCATCCTACAGTCACAACCTTCCGGGATTAACACAATGAAGGAAGCAACCAATCTGTGTGAAGATGATGACTAGAATTTTCTGGTGGTGGTACATCTTAACCTTGTTCCCAAATTCTCAAGCCCTTTAAAATTGTCATGTTTAAAGAAATAATTTATATATAGATGACTGAAATAATAAAACTATTTGCAGGAGCCAATCTCCTTTTAATAAACCACATCCTCACCCTCATGGCTGGTGGTCATTTTACAAACAGAATTAGAAAAACCCAAACACGATAGAGGGTCAGAGGGAATGCTCTTTGACTGCTACATGGAAGGAATATGAAAGGTAGAGAATAGTAAAACAAAACAAAACAAAACAAAACCACAATGTTTCTACTTGCTTCCAGTCTACACAAAGAAGCCACTGACTATGTGTATTTAAGCGTAGGGGTACAACTTTATATATACACACACATACTCAAATAGATTTAGATATTGACAACCAACATTTCTTCTCCATTGTTTACAAGAACCTATAATGCAAAAATTTATATGACTTTTTGCTACAAAACTGATTTCAAGGTGGCATTTGATCTACGAACAAAGTGACAAAACGACTGTCACAAAAAATTGAAATGTCAGTGCTCAAATCACTACAAATGCAATAAATACTAGGCCGGTGCCCCGGCTCAATAGGCTAATCAAAAAAAAAAAAAAATACTAGATCATAGAGGAGTTCCAGTTTTAATTTTGCATGTTTTTCTCTTTAACATCAATTAAATGGTCAGTCACTAAAAAGTAAAGACATTATTGCCACCCACACAACATGAAGGATAACTGATTTTAAATTTAAGATAAATTCACTTTGGACAGCCATTTTCCTCTATTGAAGAAATCCTCTATATAGGATTAATAAAATAATGATCAAATGAGAATCTGAAAGAGATCTTGAAATACTTGAGACAATACAGCCTTCTTAATTACAGACCTACCTTATGCTGCGCAAGCTGTGTTTTTATTTTGTCTGGATCATTGGCGATTTCTAGTTCAGCATCCAAAGACTTTTCTGACTCTTCCAGCCACTCCATGAGTTTACTCCAAGCTTCGTGGAACTGTAAATGCACACACACACAAACAAAAATCATATCTGTGTCCAGAAATGCTTCGATTGTACTATGTTTGGAAACTCTGTTTTTTGGGCCAGCACTGTGCTGCGGTGGGTTGCCACTGGCCTGCGACACAGGCATCTCATACAGGCGCCAGTTCAAGTTCCATCTGCTCAGCTTCTGATTCAGCTCCCTGCTGATGCGGTTGGGAAACCAGCGGAAGATGGTTCAAGTACTTGGGCCCCTGAACCCATGGGGGAGACCTGGAGGAAGCTCCTGGTTTTGGCCTGGCACAGCCCTGGTCATTGCAGCCCTTTAGAGAGTGAATCAGCAGATGGAAGATCTTTCTCTCTCTCTCTCTTTGTAACTGTGACTTTCAAATAAATAAATAAATAACAATAAATCTAAACAAAAAAATCTATATCTTTTTAAAAAATTAATATTAATGGAAATGCTCAAAATTAACTCAAAATTTCCTCCAAAGAAGGAAAAGGTAGTACTTTGATCAGAAAATTACAGAATGTCTCACTCATAATGCTTGGCATTTGGGGTTGTGTACCGTGCCCACTTTATCACCCATTCAATGTAGCAGCTTTAACAAAAAAGAAGAATGAGCCTACAAACAGTTAAGGAGCTTCAGGGAGAAATTTTTTTCCTTTCCTTTTCTTTTGATAAAAAAATAACATAAACTCTCAGAATTTCCCCACTACTGCTGTCTCTGGATAGATCTGGGTCTACTTCTAAGGAGATTAATTCCAATATGAAGGAAGACGATGCAGAGGGTGAGCGGGAAGTTTATAGCTAGCAGATTCATGTTTACAAGTAACAAGAACACAACGAGGTCATCATATTCCTGTTTAATATAAAGACAGTCCAACATCTGTACTGCTCCTCTCAAAATCCTCAAATCAACATGTGTGCCTCATATACTGCTTTTCTTCAAATAAGCATCCATGATACACGAGACCTAACAAGGATTAATTCTCTTTGCATTTAGGACCATGCAAATATCTAGTGCTACACATAACTGATTTCAACCATAGTCACTTTCTTTGTTTAGCATAAAGAACTAGCAGGTTCTATTTTTGGGAGCCAAACAGTGAAATTTGTTATAAATTATTTCTCATAATAAACTTAAGTGATCAGACATATTAACAAAAAACAAATTAAAATCTTTTGTATAGCAAAGCACATTAATAATGAAAGAACAAAAAGACATTTAACAGTAAGAGCACAGTAAGGGCACAGAATGACAAATTGCAGGGCCCGGAGGAGTGGAGGATTATCACGCTACAAACCTGCTCTCCTGCATGTCCCTCCTACAACTCTAATTAACCTAAACATGGAAACAATGGAGGCCAGAAAAGGCGCATCCATCGACAGAGTCAGAGAGTTATGATTAGCACCTGAGCTAGCTGAAATACTGAACTATTACTATTAATTATTAAAGCATTAAAATCTAATATCTCAAAAATCGAGCTATCTGAATATGAAAGAAGTAACGTATGAAACAAACAGCTGGTAGTTTGACTCCAACTAACAGACTTGCTACTAACAGTTGTAGGGTAAGCTCATTGCTGTAAATTCACAGGTTCTAAGGCTGGCCCGGCTCTCAAATCTACTCTTAAGACATATAAGTAGAGGGAATACTACAAATTTGCAGTGAAAACAGTTGAAAGTGTTTACGTAAAGTTAGTTAATTAAACAAACTGAGGCAGGGGCTAGCACCGTGGCATAGCAGGTAAAGCCATCATCGGCAACCATAAAAGCGCCACTTCATGTCCCAGCTGTTCTACTTCTGAACCGGCTCCTGAAAAAAGCAGCAGAGGATGGCCCAAGTACTTCTGCCCTGCCACCTACTTGGGAGATACAACTGAAACAACTCCTGGCTCCTGGCCCAGTTCTGGCTATTGTGGTCATCTGAGGAGTGAGCCAGCAAATGGACACTCTCTCTCTCTTCTGTGTGTGTGTGTGTGTGAGAGAGAGATCTTCTGTAATTCTGACTTCCATATAAACAAATAAATCTTTAAAGAAGTAAACAAAATGAGGCAATTACAATTAATTAAGTAGAGAAAGGAGGAAGAAAATAAGCAACCAACTACGGTTACCCATGAAACCTTTCTAAGTTAGTTGTTTGTAATTCTCAGAATTTCTATCCTAAACATGGCACTATGCCACAGAGGAAAAGCTCATGTTCAGAATTAATATTGTCAGGGCCGGTGCTGTGGCATAGTGGGTAAAGCCACCGCCTGCACTGCCAGCATCCTATATGGGCAAAAGTTTAAGTCCCAGCTGCTCCACTTCCGATCCAGCTCTCTGCTACGGCCTGGAAAAGCAGTAGAAGATGGCCCAAGTCCTTTGGTCCCTGCACCCATGTGCAGGAAGAAGCTCCTGGCTCCTGGCTTTGGTCAGCACAGCTCTGGCCATTGCGGCCAATTAGGGAGTGAACCAATGAATGGAAGACCTCTCTCTCTCTGCCTCTCCTTCTCTGTGTAACTCAGACTTTCAAATAAATAAATAAATCTTTTTTAAAAAATATTGTCTTAGCAAAACATTCAAAACTCATTTTATTCCAGATACTCTCTTGTAATACTGAGTATGTCATAGCTCCACTCAAAAAAGATACATGTGGCATATTATTCTGTAACAAAGAAATCTGTCTGTTTTAAAGCTTGCAAAAATTCAGAGTATAGCTTTACAAACACTGAAGCACTAAACTCTCATGCCATCTTTCTGCATTGACCCAGTAAGCCTGGCTCCCCACACAATGAAGTGTAACCCAATACAACACTAGAAAAATGCAGCAGAAGGGGCACAAAGAGTAATTATAAAAGTCAGCCTTAATGTTATGCTAAGTTTCTAGTAAAAAAATCCTCAAGGATAAGATATATATGTATATAAAATATATACATATGTGTGTGTGTGTGTGTGTGTATATATATATATATATATGTGCCAATCAAGGTAGGTAAAGCTTTTCCCATGGAGCACAGGGACACAGGGAGATACATAACTTTACCTCCTCTTTTTGTTTAGTCTAGAAGGAAATGTCAGACAAAAGGAATAAAAAAATTTCCTTGTGAGATTCAGGAGATGCTTTAGGTTACATAGAAAAGCCATCCACAAAAGATTTAATCCATTTCAAAGTGAGATGGGGCAGTATCGGAATGGCTGATCAACAATGTTCACAGAGGTGAGAGATGTCCATCACCTTCTGACAAAGTCTGTGCCCTTTCAGAAAACGATCTGGGAAGCCACCTGTCTGGTTCTCAGCTCTGAGAGTTTGTAAAGAAAGCTCGGCTTAGGAATTAAACAAACTATGGTGCCTTACTCTGTGTCTGAGAGTGGAGGAAAAAGACAAATAAACAAACCCGATAACACAATTTTGGGCTTCCTTTTGGGCCTTAATGATAATGGCCTATGATGTCAAGCTATAATCAGTCTTTTTAAGATTGGCCTCCAAGGTCTGAGGTTGCTGCCAGGCCAAAAAGTGATGTCAGCATTCAAATCTAGGCCACAGCCCTTCCTTGGCTCTGTGTCCTGTTATATCTAATACAGCCTGTGATAAAAGTACATTAATAACATACATGTCAACAGCTAGGACTCATTTACTGCTAAGCTCTGACAGTTTTTAGAAAGGCTTCTTACCTGTTTGGCCCTTTTCCTTGCATCGTCCAAAGATCTTCCTCTTTCTACTAAGCGCTGAACCACTTTTTCCCATCGACCTTGTACACTGATCAGTAGATTCTTAATGAGGACAACATCCTGCTTCTGACTGAAATATTTTAGGTGGGTTCCAGTTTTGTCCAGCTCTATTATCTGCTCACGGTGAGAATTTACTTCATTGGCAAATACCTTTACGCCAAAAAAAGGACACAATTAAAAACAAGTGAAAAACTGATTGATCTTAAAAATGCTTCTAGTGTCAGGAAAGTGAAATTATTTTCAAGGACGAAAGAAAGTTTGCAAACTGCTAAATTCATGCTTTTTACATTAAAAAAAATCTAGTGTCTGAAAGGAGAAGATTAGCCAATTGAGTCACTACATACCTTGTGTTCATCAATTTGAAACAAGACTGTGTCCAGGATAAGACTTGGCCGAGAAGCTACGTTTAGGGTCTGTTCAGCCTGGGTAAGCCAGTTGATGAAGTCTTGGAGAGAATTGTGGAACTCCATTGCCAAGTTCAGGGCCTCTTCCAGTTTAGTCTGTGAAGATGGATCATTTAGTATTCGATGTTTAATGGCTTTGGGTATTTTGTTTGCTTTAGTTTAACCATTCTCTGGCAGGTTCCTTAGCCATCTTCACTTAAATTATGCATATCTAAGCTAACCTCAGAATTTATGAACAGTACAGGTTTTCAATTAACTCCTGGCAAACTAAACTCCTTTTAAGGCTAGTAAGAAGCATCTCATTCCAGCTGAAAAGTTTTAATTGTGTCTTTTGGCATCTAACCAAAGAACACAATTACTAAGAGAATCAGTAAAATGAAAAAAAAATTGACATTCCTGCAGTTAATTTTGGGTGTCAAAATGCTATGAAATACACTTTAAGTTCTAGCTCTATTAGTTGGGGCATTTAATTTGGTTATATTGTATTTAATTTAGTTATATTTGCCTATTATTTTTTATTTAGCATTAAACAATACTACTGGGATTTCTTAGATTATTGCTTCTTTTTTTAAAATGCCAAAAGCATATTGGCAATTTAAAATAAATGTTAATGCCTTCTTCATGGAATTTTAATGTAAGTGCTTGTAAAATATATACACACTCATCTTACTCTTTCTATCTCCCAACTCCACCCACAGATCAGCTCTTTGTTAAGTAAGTGTGATCAGAATACTTAAATCCCAGAATTAAAGTGGTTCATAACCTTTAAAAATGTACCTGAGTAACACTTGATTGATGACACAACTGTACTTACATTAAATAGATCCCTTAAACTTTATTCTCTTGTCTTAAAATAGAATATAGTATTCAAATGAACCATGAAAACTTTGAATGTCTACAAAAAGTTTAAACATGAATCACTAAAGTTCTACTCTTGACAGTTCTACTCAGCAATAAAGCAAAACCTATGAAATGAAACACTGATTCTATTACATTAATCAAAGCACATACTTTCCTTTCGTTGAGTTTGGTTTCTACTGATTCCCATTTTTCTTTCAAGTTATTTATGTCTTGGTCAATGTTTGTCTCTGCAGATTTGGGGCATCTTGCAAGCATCTGCTGGCCTTTCTGCATCAGACTCCTATATGTTTCTTCTTTGACATCAAAGGCAGCACAGATTTCCTAAATTGAGATATTCCCAAGTTATATCTCTTGAAAAGAATAGAACCCGAGAGTCCTATTTTTCCAATTGATCCAAAACCCCTCATTATACATTCCTCTCTCTCTGGCATAAAGAACAACCCTGACATATTTAAACTTTTCATTACATTGAAACAACACCTAACCCTATAGTTACACCCTGTCTACTGAGAAAACACAGAAATGATGCTATCGTTTGCAATCCATTCTGGCATAGTAAGGTTTGCAACAATAGTTTAAATGCTGTAAGAAGGGTTTTACTGCAAGTAATTAATCAGCAGCTCCATGACTGTGGGCCTGTAATTTCATTGCTGTGAATCTTAATTTCTTCCTCTTTAAGGGGCGGGACCGGCCCTGTGGCAAAGTGGGTAAAACTGCTGCCTGCAGTGCCAGCATCCCATGCTCCACTTCTGATCCAGCTCTCTGCTATGGCCTGGGAAAGCAGTAGAAGATGGCCCAAGTCCTTGGGCCCCTGCACCTGTGTAGGAGACTGGGAAGAAGCTCCTGGCTTCTGGCTTCGGATTGGTGCAGCTCTGGCCATTGCGGCCGTCTGGGGAGTGAATCAGCAGATGGAAGACCCCCCTCTCTCTCTGCCTCTGCCTCTCTGTAACTCTGACGTTCAAATAAATAAATCTTTTAAAAAATAAAAAGGAAAGAGGCTCCTCTCCTTATCCTATGATACAATATAATATTTTCTTGGCATAACTGAATTCTGGGCTCAGAAAACATGCATAAAAACTGGAAAATAAACAGTAGAGTAAGGTGTTAAAGTTGATTATTCAGACTCTAAAATTACAAGAGTCAAACCTGTGGGAATATGCATATTATTCTCATTTATAACACTTTGAAAGCTTCCAACTATAATACAATGTTTATATTACATGGAGAATATAAGAAAATATTGTTTTAATAAATTCAAAACTTAATATCAATAAAAGAACAATTATACTTCATTTTATAGATTAAACCTAGTTTTACTCCTTTGATTCAGTAATAATGTAGATCAAATCATAGCTTCCACTGAAAAATTATATATTCTCTGTCTCATTAACATTTTTAACATTATAATTTTAAAAATTGAAAAATAATTCATACGCCATAAAATTCACATTTTGACACGTTTTTGTAGTATATTCACAAGATTATGCATCCATTACCACTAATTCCAGAACCTTTCACCATCTCAAAATTTTATTTCTTAAACCTTTTAAAAATTAATCTTTCTAAACATATTTATAATATCACCTACTAAAATCTCTAAATTCTAAAACAAAAATTTTATATATAGCTAAAAATGCAGAAAACTACTATATCATAGTTTTTGTACTTCTCTCCATTTATAGCACAAATCAGAATAACCTGTACTAAAGATAAGCTCTTTGCTTTCAAGTTCTTATTTATATTCTTCCAAATTAACATTTCAAAAAGTTATTTGTCCTTAGAGAATAATTCCAAGCATCTACTTGTTAAAAGAGTTCATTAAACTTTTAATTAATGGATACTTTAAAGGCTATGCAAGCACTTCCAGGGAAGTAGGATGCTACATGGAAGTTACTCAGGTTTTATGGAAAAGGAAGATAAGTGCTCTCAAGCTGTTATTTAATTAGTCACTTTGTCAGAGAAACAAAGGAGTCTCTTGTGGCATCAAACAACAACTACAACAAAATCAAGGACACAATAACTTTCTAAAACAATGAATATACCTTAAAGACTTCTAGAAAATTCTATACTGGATTAGCAGCATCTACTTTTTCCTATTCAGGGTAATTGTTAAATAAGTAAAATATTACCTCCTGTCACAGTCTGTTTTACTTCTCTGTAATGTCTATAAGATGGTTACTTCCTCTCCAATCACCAAACTCAACATTATTCCAAATACGTATAGTTCTGTTTTGATCTTAGATCAATGTTGATAATTACTAATTAGGGTGGCCTCCCATGTACAATGGCCTCTTTCTTTTACTATGTCCCTAGGTACTTCTGATTTTATTTCCCAAGATGTTATCTATCCATATTTGAATATGAAAAAAAAAAACAAATTCTGATGCAAACTCACAAGTGTAAAAATTAGAGGAACAGTTTGTAAAACTCTGAAAGACTTTTCTTTTAGAATGCTCGGAGGGGCCAGCGCTGTGGTATAGCAGGTAAAGCCACTGCCTGCAATACCGGCATCCATATGTCCCGGCCGCTCCACTTCCAATCCAGCTCTCTACTATGGCCTGGGAAAGCAGGAGAAGATGGCCCAAGTTATTGGGCTCCTGCACCCACGTGGGAGACCTGAAAGAAGCTCCTGGCTCCTGGCTTTGGATCGACACAGCTACGGCCATTGTGGCCAATTGGGGAGTGAACCAGTTGATGGAAGACCTCTCTCTCTCTCTCTCTGCCTCTCCTTCTGTCTGTATAACTCTTTCACATACATAAATATATCTTTATTAAAAAAAGAATGCTTGGAACCAAATTATAAGGAGATTATATGAAGAGGAAATGTCAGTAAACCAAAGGTGTTCTAAGTTTAATTCTTGAGTCTATATTCCTATAAAAGAAAACAGAATTTCAACTTTCATTGCTTTGTCCTTCTCACTGTTGAAAGTCAGCAGTGCCACAGAATCTAGGTGGCAAGGGGCCCCCAGGCACGGTCATACAGATTGGACAGGGAAACAGAAGCCTTGTCCTGGTGTCTATTCCTGGTGTAGGTACAAAGTTGAAGACACAACAAACCAGTAACTTCTATAAAACAGTAATATATCTTCCAGACTTCCATGAAACTAGGTGAGAATAGCATGTTTATAACACGTTTTAAGTCAATTTTTATTATTCTGGATATTTTGGTCAGGGCAGAGCAGTTAAGAATTTCTATACAGTCTGACACTAGTGCTCATACCAGCTGATCACTGTGTAGGGAAAACTTTGCTTCTAAAAAATGTGAGTGCTCATACACTGACTCACTAACCTTTGACACCAAGAGTAAGGTCTAACTTGAACATCTGATCAACAAGTGGTGCTCTTTTCTAGTACATATCAATAGTGATTTCTGCCATAAAACTACGTATACTCTAAAGCCTTCTCCCATGATTTATGTATCACTAGGGCCCCTGCAAAATAGTCAGTCTGTTCATCCGAGGCTAGAGCTGCAGGAAGTACTATACATACCATATGGGCATTAAGCTGCTCCCTGGCCGTTTCCGGTAAACCTCCCAGAGGTTTGGATGCCAACAGATGCCGCTCCGTGTCAGTCAACCATTGCTGCAGATCCTCAATTTCGCCATGGAACCCTTTGGCCTGAAGTGATAGAAAGTTGCAAACACCATCACTTTCAGGCAGAAAACAAGGTTCCAAGAATGCCAGCCTGCTAAGCCTCTCTCAGTGCCGGTACGAGCAGCCTGAGTCTCCTTGCCTCTCTTCATCACAGGAGCTCTAGCAGATAAGAGTATTATACTAAGAACTAGAGAGCTGCCTTCTCTCCTGCTCTGTTCTTTATCCCACATATTTGCTCTCTCCTTGACATATAAAAATTAAACAGGAGTCTGAGAACTCAGAAAAGAATTCCATGCTATGTTGGTATTGAGCGCTATAGGAAGTGGCAGAATTTATTCTGAGATTCACCTGGCGCAAGGCACCATCCAGCTGCTGCTTCCGCTGTTCAGTTTTTTCCAAAACATTTTGCCAGCGTTGATTTAAGACCTCTAGCCTGTTCTGAAGGTTGCTTGCTTCTTCTCCTGCACTTGATTCAATTAGATCATTTCCTGCTTTATTAACGGCTTCCACCGTGGACTGATGGGCTAACACATCATTTTGCAGCACCTGAAATGTTAAGAGAACATCTTTTTTGCTCCTCTGTAAAGTGTTCACATTATTTTCAACGCAAATGTTTAACCTTATGGTTATGAAGCATTATTAAACAAAAACAGCAGCAAATACACAGAATTTTCACACTAAGATTTTAAAGGATGGACTTTCTTTCCCTTAACTTTGCAGCTTTCCTGGACTTGCCATTAGTCTACCTACGTCCTTTGAAATGACTGTATGAAAACAATTCGTAAGTTACTTCCATTAGAATGACCTTGCAGTTGATGATCTAAGTCATCCAGGACCATTAAGTGGTCTTTCATTTCATTCAAGCTCATTTTAATTGACCTTAACTTTGATATATTAATTAATTTAAAAGATATTTTACTCCTTTATATCCATTTTCAAATATAAAATTACCACCTAAGGTATACAGTGATGTATTTTATAATTAGCATTGTGAAAGGTAAAAAAAAAAAATAACCATAGGATATTCTTTTATATTCTCTTGGGGCATGGGGGTCAGGGACATTAGATTTAACTGGGAATTAATTAATCTGGGAAGCCCTCACACTGAAGGGAAAGAGATTTCACTGCATATCAGACATAATCAAGTCCAGCAGTCTAAAGTTCAGCTGTTCTTTTATAAGAAAATACAAGTCCCTGGCAAATAATATTTATATGCCAGAAAGCTAACAGATTAATAATGTTCAGATGGGTAAAATGCAGAAAGAGTGGCAAGTGCAGAATGCACTAAGGTGGAAAAAAAATCAGTTTCTTATGCTGAAAAGACTTATACTTTACAGGACAAATACAGCCTTGGTAATAGTTTCCTTTTGAGGAGCCTATGCTTACATTTGTGGGAAGCAGAAGAAACCCCCTTTAATGTTAGTAAGAGTCGACCATAATCCTACCCCACACTCATTGACTCAGGGTTGGCAACGACAAAGCAAAAGAACTTCATCTCTCATCCCATGTAAGACATCAGACATCTGGAAGGAAATCCGAACCAGGGAAGATTCCCAGGGAAGAGCCATCCCCATCTGAAAACACTGTTTCTGGGACCATATTCATGCGCTTTCTGAGGCATCTGGTGAGGGAGTGTTTTTCAAAGGCTATAAAACCGACTGAGTAAGGAGTTATCTTTATAAAAACATGTACTTTGATATGTTAATGGTAGGAATCACTCTCAAGATGTAAGAGCTAAATATTCTTGTGGTCGAAATATAAAAGGTAACCCTGTAAAATTCATTCTTCCAATGGTTTGTGTCCCACTACAAAGGCAGAGCCCAGCAGCAAGAGAGGGATGTGAACAATGCAGCTGGGAGTTCTAAGTCCTCAAACTTTTGATCTTTGAGAAATGGAAGGAAAAGAGAAAAAAGAAAAGGAGCCATTTATAAGCATTCACATAGAGATTATCAGTATTAAAATGTCCCTACTGATCCCCTGTCAAAATCACTGGTCATGGTAATTCATCTTCCCACATATACTATATTATTTGCAGTTCTGACCACCAATATACATTAAAGACAACTCTTCAACTGTCAGATTTGTGAAAATGTAACTGCATCTACAAACCCTACACTATGAGAAGAAACATACCGGGTCTTCATACAGCCAGTCTAGCTAATGATTATTGTTCGAAGCAAGGATACAACAAAGATGTGAAATAATGAAGTGGCCTTCCATGCAATCATTGATTATGCAACATAAATTCTAGTTGGCTAGTTAGATATGGCTGAGTAATGGTTACTGATGTGGCCAACACCAGGCAAAACAGGAAGAAACAGGAAGAAAGGTTTACTGTAGGGAATAATCGCTATGGGAAAAAGTATAAAAGAAGGACAGCCAAAGCAACAACAGCCAGAAACTACATATCACAATCCTGAAGTGCTAAAAACATGCTCTATTTTTAAAATGTTAATGAATCTGTAAAATATGCAAAAACTTTATCTGATAATTAGGGAAAATTATTTAAGTTTAGGATTTATGACTTCAAAGACATTATAATCACTGGAAATGTTAAAACTCTGTACAAGATCATAGGATAAACTCTACTGTGGATGACTTTTTATTAATTAAGTCTGCTGACTTAAGAGATAGGGAATGATCTATTAAGAATTATCAACCAAGTGTCACAAAGGTGACATCAATATAAAATTGTTTCACAATACCTCAAGACAAAAATTTTTAACTCAGAAGCTTTAAATCAAGTGCAGGACATATCAAAACTCTTCTACACATAAAAAAAATTTTACAAGGCTAATTCAGAAAGAAATATGGCAAAGAAAGCTAGTCCTAGCCAAGAGCAACACAGAGACAAAAGGACAAATCATGGCATAATGAGAGATGGACAGATACACAGAAATGTGCTAGACCTTCCAAACAGGCTGCAAATGAGAGAGATGAGATGAAGGTGACCAAGGGAAAAGCATACACCAAACCTCCAGCAAGCAACAACATTTTTAACCTCTAAGGTTTTAGGCTACCCCCAAACAACTTTAAAAATAGGTGGCCTTAATATAACTAGGGATTTAAATCTTCAGTGTCTGTCAGGCAGCCCTCTAATAAGACGTAGCTTCAAATTTTTCATTGGTTGTGTTTGATAATAATTGCCTTGAGGAAGAAGAAGAAAAAATATTTTGATTGTAATCTTTTAAGAAGTTTGTTTTAAGTAGTTTAACCTTCGGGTATAAATGTCTAAACATAAAGTTGTGTTAAAATCACAAACTTGAAAAATGCATAAAGAAATATACAGAAAAACTGATGACAGTAGTAATATATTAGAGAAGAAACAGAATATGAAATAACAGTTACATACATGATGCTTGGCAAGTTCAATTTCAATGGCTTTAGGGTCTCCTCCAACAGGTTTCTGTTCACTTAGCAAACCCTCAGTGTGTGTCAGCCATGCCAAGAGTTCATCCAGAGCGTGTTGGAACTGACCCAGTGCTAACAAAGCACCCTCTAGCTTATGCTACAGAAAAAAATGGAGAGGCAGAAATCAATTTATCAATTTGACATTATGAATGACACACATTCATAAAACAAGGACAAAGAATCAATAGCTTCACGCTGCATAAGTTGTTAAGCATATCCAGTGACCATCATATCATTTTGACATTTTCATTTTGATGCGTTTTGTGCTTCAAAAATGGCTTAAAAGAAAAGCAAGAGGAGTTCTAATGAACTGAGAGAACTGGGGCTTCAACAGTTAATAAGCAAAATCACCTGATTTTGTTTTTATTATATTTCACATTAATATCTGAAATTGAAAAGGTGTAACTCTAAAGAAAAGTCTTGGTATTTACTTGTCTGTTGATAATTCTCTCATCCAGGCTATCCCATATCAACTTCAGCTCCATTAATGGATCTTGAACCGTGTGTTTGTCACTTTCTTCTGTTACTTTCTTCAGCAAGAGTTCTGCTTGATGATTCAGTCTTTCCATTTCTATTTGTTGTTGATAAGCTTCTGACTTAAATTGCTATTTAGTTTTTAAAAAGAGAATATATAATAAAGAGAATTTTAAAATACATCAGTAATTATAAACAAAAATATTCCATGGGTGAGATCTTTATTCTGTTTTGCTATGGGGAAGGGAGGTGACAAAGAATAACAATCTAACATGAAAGAAAATAAGGGTAATTTTTTTCCTTTAGTCAAAGTTTTCTGATGGAAAACCATTTCTAATTTTGTTACTTCATTTTTTTCTCTACCATAAAAATTGACAAATTTCAAGATTGAACTTGTTCCAATATCTAACTATGCACATATATTTTCAAAGAGTTTTGAACTCATAGGAAATAAAAAATATAAAATATGAACCCAGAAAACAATATTTCTAAGAAATTCAAATTAGTATTTCCTGCTTTGAAACATCCTCACAACTTGTATTTCCTAATGATTTTATATTTTCTGTAGCTGAGCCATGTTCATTAGTACTTAGTTATTCCCATACCTCATCAACTGCTAACAAAGAATAACATTATTCTCACTCCTGGTGCTCCCTGTGTTACTGACATAAATCACCTCCACACCTAGACATAAAGTATAGCATGTGTTTACTGTATGAAAAGATTAAGTTTACAAAAACCTCAATCTAATGATGGTAAGGGTAAAAGTCTCAAAAAGAAAAATTTTCTTCTAATATAAATATCCTGTCGTACTTAGAGATGAAAAATAAAGTTTTAAAGCTAGATAATAACTTCACATAAACACCTAGTAGGGCTCACTGAAAATAGTGCACTGTCTCTGTGCATGGGGGATTAGGAAGGAAATAGCTAACCCCACTTTGGTAAATGATTGTGGGTACAGAGGAATTCAAAGAGGAAACAGTCCAGCCATTTTCACAGTTGGAGATCAAGAACCACAAAAGCAAAAATTACAGAGAGAAGCAGATAGAAAACAACATTCTGAGAAATAGTAATAGATCACTGATGTGTTTTCATCCCAGGAGACTGAATGAATGACTCAGAATGTGAAGAAAGAAAAAATGTCGCTGTATGTGTATTGATGACAATGATGCACGACTGAGTGCTATAAAAAGCCTTTCAGGATAATCTAAGCATGTCCCTCTCCCTCCCCTTCCCCCTTTCCCTTCTTCCTCTCCCTCTCCCTCTGTCCACACTTCAATCTGCCCCCAATATGAGGATATCTGAAAGGCTATAAACCCAATCTTCAGAGTAGTTGTCTCAGTACATGTCATTTAGAAATGTTCTTCACCTTTCTGCTTAGTTTTATTTTCTGTTTCTTCTGTCACTATATTAAATCAGATTCATAGTCAAAGAGTAACATTTCAATAATGTAAAAATAAACACATGTCAAGAATCCATGAATCACAAAGTTTAAAATGCAAGTAAGTTTATGATAACTTAGCTTCCACACATACCTTTAGTTCTTCAATTTGCTGCTTGACAGTTTCAAGATCTGTTCCAATTGGAGACATAGAAGCTAATTTGCCACCTGCAATATCTACCCAGTCAAATATTGCCTGAAAGACACATTAGTCCACACGTTATTGTAATAGTACCCTTGTGCTATTATAACAGTACATTTTAAATTGCTACAAGATCTGATGTTATAGAAATATACAATCATAAATCTATATTATAAAAAGAATCTATTCTGTAAAAAATTAGGATGGCTCACCTAAATAAATAAAAATAGCAAATATAAAATATGAAACAGATATAACCTCCAATTCTGCATCCACATTTCCAACCCTTTACTGACTAGGTTCTTAGGATACTAAGAGCTTTCCAAAAAGTTCATTTGTAAAATTTTTATAAATTCAATCATATGAAATAAAATTGTCTATGTTCTCACATGCATAAATATAATGGAAAAAAGACCCAAATCCATGTGTTTATTAAAATAAGAAAAAAGTTCTGTTATTTAGCACTTGAGCACAATATTTGGTTTAACTAATCTTTATGTATTATTTAGAATAGCATTATAATTCTGCACATACAGATGATTAGTATTTAGGTTATTCTGAGCTATAACATAGTTTTCAGAATCTCTTTAAAATATTTTTAGGTAACAAGGGCTAAAAAAGGCTCAACTCACATTTTGTTCAGCTACTATAATACATAAGAAAATTCTTTGGCACTATAATGAATTTGTTAGCCTATACAATAGATGGGAAAATCTTGGAAAATATCTGATGTGTTTTTCAGTTATCATTACTCCACACTGATTAAGAATTTAAGTAACAGCTTGTGAAATAAACTATATTTTACTTTACAGTCAAACCTTGAAAGCTTTGGAGCATGTGGAGCTGTCAACATGAACTACAGCTGGCCGCAGCTATGTAATAAAGCAACCTGGCTCTTCATTGCCATAGGGGATGCTACCAATGCAAGACCAACCAATGCAAGGGCCGGTGAAAGGCCTTGTTTTTCTAGTATAGGTTGAGTATCCCTTACCTTAAATGCTCGGGATCAAAAGTATTTCAGATTTTAGATTTTTCAGATATTGGACTATTTGCAAAGACTTAACCAGTTGAGCATCTCTACTCCAAAATTCAAAATCAAAAATATACCCAAATCTGATTTTTTTTGACCACTGCCATCATGTTCAAAAGTTTTGGATTTTGGAGAATTTGAGATTTTAGATTCTTTGGATTAGGGATACTCAAACTGTTAGCAGTAGAATCTGCACAAATCATGGTATCTGGGCTGTGACCCAAAAGGCTAAATGAGTTGGCAGTGCCACTTCTAGCCATGGAAGGAAGAGTGCCACTCTATGACTCACTAGAAGCACACAAAAATCAAGGCCAGGTCCCACAGAGAGAGGGCTGGAGCCCGGTTTACTTACCGGCCATTAATACCTAACTATAAAAATGAATAATTTTTTTTTAAAAAGGGGGGAAGGGGAAGTTACAGCAAGGTGTTATTTGTAGTGAATTTTTTCATATATTTCCAAAGTACAAAACACGTTTTGGCTGACATAAGCCTGGCTTTTGATATTTATTTTTATAAATACAGAAATGGAGCAGCATAATGAAAAAGGAAAAGCTGTTCTCATCTAAGATTTAAAAATAATATTCACTTAGTGTTATGGAAATACTTAGGAAAGCTTTTTCCATATGGTAAGGGGGATGAAAGATTAAACTCCTGCCAACCTGTTAGGAAATGGAACAAAGTTAAGGAAGGTAGGGAAAGAAATATCATTCAGTTGAGCTCAACTGACATTTTTAATATTAAAAAAATCAACTTAAAAGTTGTTAATGAACTGAATTAGAACCTTGAAAAGATGTTAAAAACAACTACTAAAAGGAATTATATATATGGAAACAAAGAAAGCATTTTTTACACATCAGATTATGACCTAACAAAATAGAAATCTATTTTTGTACATGGAGAACACTGGCTTACAATCAAATTTCTTTACTTCTGACTTTGGTTAAACTTAGAGATATTTTTAGGTAGTGTTTACTCCTTTCATCTCATTCCACTCAATGTTAGAACAGAATTCACATTCAGTTCCATTTCACTGTTTGGTGCTGAACCACTTAGGAGAAACACACTGTGTGGGAATTGTACTTTCACTTTAAAACACATTAAACTATTTCTTTCTAAAGCAAATTTCATGGAGTGTCTATATAAAACCATGTTTAGAGGTGCATGTAAACCTATACATATCTGAAAGGTCAGAGATACCATCTAAAAGGGGAAACATGAGTTGGACGAGGCATAGGTGTGCCCACAACTGCACGCACACTGGCTGTTCTGCAGTGGTGCTGTTGCGCAGGTCTGTGAGCACTCATCGGTAGGAATCCTCCTGCCAGCCGAGGCCAGCAGACTCCTCTCACCGCCTTACCTGCAGTCCATCCTGGTACTGAACAGCAGCCTGCATGGCCTCCTCGAGCTTGTCGACCCGGTCCTTCCAAGCTTTGTTTAGAGAATCCCATGCTGAATTTAACTACAATTCAAAGGTCAGAACTCTTTTAGTGTCCTGTTTTAAATTTGCAACTTCTATATTTTTAACAAATTTAAACAAATTTAAATTTTATACTTTTAACAAATATATTGTGTGCATTTTTAAAAAAGCATTCTGATAAGAATGGAAGAGATGTGAGTTGTACCTCATCTATGCTTTTCTTGACAATGGGTTTGTCTGGCTCCCCGCATGCAGCAATGAGTTCAGAACCCAGGTTAATAACCATGTCCAGCTCTTCCTGCAGTCCATCTATTTCTTCCCTGATGGCCTAGAATAAGAAAATGAGAGTCTTAAAAATTTTAGGCAAAGCCACACTGAAACTGGAAAGTTGCATACAAAGATCTATAAATGGTGCTTTCTAGGAACGGGAATTATGATCACTTTTTCTTCCCATTTCCTACATTTCTGAAATACAGTTGTTCTTTTTTTTTTTTTTTGGACAGGCAGAGTTAGACAGTGAGAGAGAGACAGAGACAGAGAGAAAGGTCTTCCTGCCGTTGGTTCACCCCCAAAATGGCCACCACGGCCAGTGTGCTGTGCCACTCCGAAGTGAAGAGCCAGGTGCTTCCTCCTGGTCTCCCATGGGGTGCAGGGCCCAAGCACTTGGGCCATCCTCCACTGCGCTCCCAGGCCACAGCAGAGAGCCGGACTGAAAGAGGAGCAACCAGGACAGAATCCGGCGCCCCAACCAGGACTAGAATCTGGGATGCCGGCGCCACAGGTGGAGGATTAGTCTAGTGAGCTGTGGCGCCGGCCTGAAATACAGTTTTTCAACACAGAAACAGAAGAGAAGTAATATTTTCAAGGAAAAACAGTAACAAATGACAAATGTTTACTACAAAGGTTAAGAAATAATAAAAATATCAACAATACTGCATAGTATGGAAACAGATTTTATTTTCCAAACCAATTAGCTTGGTAATATATATTTAAAATAGGCATAAAATATAAATTAAATTCAAATACTATACACATATTAATGTATTTGTTAGCAGATTTAGGATAATCTAATTTTGGATTTATATGTTAGGACCTTCAACTACAAAAATATGAGTACGATGGAAATGTGGCATCCTAATTTTTCTTCCATTTTCTTAGTTAAATATATTTACTCACTCAACAAACATTTAAGAAACATCAACCAAGCCCTAAACTAGACACTGGCAATACAAAGAAAATTAGACACAGCTAGAAAAAGACACAGGGCCATTCTCTTCAAGGGGCCAAGGTACAGTAGGAAAGACAGAGGAATAAGCAATGATAAGTCATACTATGTACAGAGTCTTCTTGCAGGAGGAAAGTATTGTGGGAACCCAGACAGACTAACCCGGCTATAACTATGTAAGAAAGGATTTCAGGGTCAGCATTGTGGCATAGCTGGTAAAGCTGCTGCCTACAATGTCAGAATCTCAAATGTGTGCTGGTTTGTGACCCTGCTGTTCCACTTTCATCCGACTCCTGACTGGTGCGCCCAGGAAACGAGTGGAAGACAGCCCAAGTGCATGGGCCCCAGCACCCACGTGGGAGAGAGACCTGGAGGAGGCCTCTGGCTCCAGCCTTGCACAGCCCCAGGCATTGCAGTCATTTGGAGAATGACCCAGCAGATGGAAGATCTCTCTGTCTCTCCCTCTCTCTCTGTACCTCTGTCTTTCAAATAAAAAACTAAATCTTAAAAAAAAGAAAAAAACAACAACAACAAGAAAATATAGGAAAGATTTCACATCAGGAGTGATAATCTAACCGAACCCTGACACTTGAGCAGGACTGGAAGAAGGAATGACACAAAGGGCATTCCAGGTAAGGAAATCAAATGTGTAAAGGCACAGTTGCTAAAAAAAAAAAAAAACCAAAAAAAAAACAAGGCAGTTTGGGGCAAGCTACTTTCTAAATTGCTGGAAGAGACGGAGCCCATAAAGGCAAACTAGGAAAAATGCGTTGAAAACACAGTTACAGGCCAGGCTATAGGGATGCATACACGGGGATGAAAAACGCTACACTGCCGCATTCTAGGGAGTTTGGAATTTATGCAACAGGCAAGGGATGCCTTTGAGGTTTTTCAAGCAGCAACAAATAAGAGCAGTCCAGAGAGATAACTGGCAGCAAGGTTAGAGGTCTGGCAAGGAAAGCGGTTCTGTACTTTGGAAGCCAAGAAAGAGATAATGAGGCCTTGAAATAAGGCAGAGCACTGAGGATAGAGAGAGATTATTTTAAACATACAGTTTCCAAGTGAAATTTGCGGGTATACTCTATCTCCTACTAACCACTATGCATTCCACTTTTGAAACCAAATATAAATTTTAACAGAGTGATTCCCAAGAGTTATCAAGGGAATCCAGGTTTCATTATGCCACAGTCATGTATGTTTGTGTTTTTAACCTTAAGTCACAGTTTTTTTTTTTTTTTTTTTTTTCTTACCTCTGCTGATTCTTGCTGTTGTTTCACTACGGAAGGATCAATGCCAGGATCCTCCAGGTCCCGGATGAAATCCTGAGTGTCTTTAGTGGTAACGACCAACGACATGTGATCACACCAAAATTTTTCTGCTAACTCCATCACATCCAGGAGCTTGGCTTCCCTTTCTTCCACCAGCGTGTGTATGTTCTCCCAAATGAAAATCATTTGGTCAAGCTTATCCTGAACAGCTAATGAGCAACAAACAAACAGAAACAGTATCAGAGAGGCTACTGGTTAGCCCCATGTAAGCAATAAAGCAGAATCTTTTATTTTCATGGAAAGCAGTGGTTCCATTTCTTATGCATCTAAAACTGGGCCAACTTTTAGTTGATCTCAGTCTGCTGGGTATCATTGGGCCCAAGAGCTTACAGCATACAATGCAAGGTCTATAGCTCTCCTACTCTTGCTAAACCAAAGCTCTTTCTTGCAAAACTGGATGTCGAAAGCTAAGAGAGATCTGAGGAGACCCATGTTCACCAAGTTTTAAGTTCTAAGTTCCCCAAGGCTGGCTTTAATCCCAAAGCAAGTGAAATAACTATCTAGGTGTATTTTCAATTCTCTTTGAATCAAGAATAAAGTTGTCTGCTCAGTCCCAGGTAGACAGCAACGTATGATAAGCCACTTGGGCTTCTTTCCAGAGAATCCTTATCATGCATTTATGCCACACACATATTCTTCCTTTTGAATCCAAGCTCATGTCTCCAAGATGGCTAGCTGTGATCCCAGTTGCTATTCCTGTGGCTATGGATGGAAGATGTGTGCTATGTGTAGTCAGTACAGTAAAGACAAAAAAACAAATGCATAAAAGACCCTAGCTCTGGCCTTAATAGCATTGTGCTCTAACCTACTGTTGTAAAAGGTATGAAGAATACATTGTCTTTGTACAATGGCACACTTTGTATTCAAGCAGTTAATCTCACAAACACAGGGAAACACTAACAAAGGATTTGTATACATAGCCCTTCAACCCTAACATGTCATATTTGTAATACTTTTTCTAAGTTACGCAATTGGATTGTCAACAAGCAACATAAAAATTTAAGGGTTGGTTTACAGAGTCAAGCTTAATCATTTCATTATTCTAAAATTATTACCTTTGGCAGATATGTCTTTGTCAGTACCCCCGGATCTAGCAATCATTTCCTCTCCCCTCTGTTTGAGTGTTTCATACAATGGTTGCAGCTTTTCCATGTCTACCGACACGTTCTTATTCTCACTGATCTGCTCCTTGATCTTTTCCACCTCTGCAGAGATGGAGGGCGGCTGCCTCAAACGCTCCACAATGCGCTCTAGGCTCTCAAGGATCTGGTCAATCTTGTCGTGGAACTAGTGGTAAAACAATGAGATAATTTATGGCAAAAAGACCAAATGTAAACACTGGATGGCAAAATCTATTTAATGTCCCAATCAAGAAGTACACCTCAGTTCCTTTTGTCAATGGATCCTTTTAAAGAGATATACCTAGCTGGTGTATGAAGACATGCCTAAAATCTGACTAACACGTATTTCCCTGTCACAACACTCATGCAGAAGAGACATAGTTTCTCATTCACTAAGAATTGGTATATGTAAACATAACTGGACAGCCGGCAGCAGCATCTATTTTAGTATTGCTTCATTTTGTTAACAGAATTCAAATTGGTTTTATTTTATTTTTTTTAAGATTTATTTTTATTTATTTGAAAGACAGAGTTAGAGAGAGAGGTAGAGACAGAGAGAGAAGGGGGTCTTCTATCTGCTGGTTCATTCCCCAGATGGCCTCAACAGCTGGAGCTGTGCCAATCCCAAGCCAGGGTCCAGGAGCTTCCTCTGGGCCTCCCACGCGGGTGCAAGGGCCCAAGGTTTTGGGCCATCTTCTACTGCTATCCCAGGCCATAGCAGGGAGCTAGATTAGAAGAGGAGCAGCTGGGACTTGAACTGGCGCCCATATGGGATGCCGGTGCTTCAGGCCAGGGCGATAACCTGCTGCGCCACAGCACCGGCCCCTCAAATTGGTTTTAAAAATGAAGTTCAATGGCTTGGTGTTGTGAGGTAGCAAGCTAAGCCTCTGCTTGCAATGTTGGCATCCCATATCAGAGTACCAGATTGAGTTCTTGATTCAGTCTGGACTAGGCTTGGACATTGTGGTCATTTGGGGGAACCACAGGATGGAGCATCGATCTCTCTCTCCCTCTCTCTCTCCCACACCCCACTGTCTGCCACTCTGCCTTTCAAATACATAAAAAAAAAACCTTTAAAAAGAAAGGTTCAGAAAGTTGGTTGTTTTATGTATCAAAATGGATTGTTTTCCTCCCTTTTGAGATATTTTGGCTACCTTAAAAGTCATATTATTTAAATGTGAAATCCACAGTGAGTCCTGTCCCGATTGGACTCAAAGGAGTCCTTTAAGTTATGCATTTCCTGAAAAATAATAATAATAAAAAGTCCCTAGTGATATATCAGAAATTTCTATTTAATTCATGGGCTAGCACATAGAGAAATCCATGAAAGAATTTTACATCTGCATTTGTAAAGGTTATCATAGACAATTAAGCAAAGCTATAAAAACTTGCTCTTTCATAAGTTATTTGCTATCTTCAAAGTTAAATGAGCTATCACACAGGATTACAGAAAACGGGCCACTGTAATATCCTCTATCTATAATGATACCAAATACTGAAAAATGGAAACCCTATAGGTAATTTCAAAAGTTAACTTCTTAAAAAAAGAAGTTTTAAAGAAAAGAAGAAAGAAATCAATTTCTACCTTTATATTCTTTTCCTTTTTATTCAGCCTATTATTCAGTCTTCTGACTTCTTTTTGGGGAATGTTCTATAAATAACGGTAATCTGACTTTATCTTTCCCAATGGCAAAGATTACATTCCACTCAGGACAGGCACTAAATTAAACATTTGGACAATGATGACAATTTTATGTTTCTTAAGTCACTGCAAAATTAATTTTTTGTTGTTGTACCTTCAAGCAACCAAAGAAATATAAAGGCTGGATGTATGTAAGCATTACTTCCAAGGGACAAAGACATCAATACTCATAGTTGATGTAGTGAAATGATTTTGGTTAAAATTTAATGAAGAGATCCAGGATAACAACTTTCCAAGCTTTGTAGTTTAGAAGAACCCAATTCTACTTCTAGTGAAAATGATTACCTGTGTTGACTGAGAAATGGCTTCATCCAGTGCCACAGCCCGCTTCTTGACATCTTCTTTAATTTGACTGTAAAGGGTGTCAGCTGCCACGTACTTCTCTTGGATGGAAAAGCCTTCCCCTGGGCTCAATTCCAGTAACTGAGGCCCAGTTTTGTTCATCTTATCTATATGAGGCTTGTGTTCAGCTATCAACTCTCGCAGTTGCTATAACAAACCAAACAGCTTCTCAGTATCCCAAGGTCACACCTCCATATTACAGCTGTCCACACCCCCAATGCATCCAGCTGGCAAGAAATGCCAAACAAAGGCCCTCCCCAACACATGGTACTTAACACACTACAGCTCAGACAACTCCTGGCTAGGATGAGATGGCCCTGACACAAAAACTCAACAGTTTGGTCATGTCAAAGCCCCTTTAAGAGTCCACACAAAAATGCTGGTTGAGTGAATAATGAATCCCAGTTCATCATGCGTTTCATACCAATAGTAGAACATTATGACAAGAATATTAGCCAATGGTCATATTACAAGAAAAGATTTTGAACTCACAATATCCCCAACCTACAGGGACCAGGACATAAATCTTGCTGTTCTCTTCTGTACACTTATGACATATATGAAGGAAAGGGAGAGGGAGGGAGGAAGAGTAAGAGGAAGGAAGGGCGGGAGGGAAGGAATGGAAAGCAGCTCAGTAGAAGGCTGACATAATCTGAGAGAAAAAACTCAAGGTAAAGGGATGTTAGGGCAGTGTAAGCCCATAAGACGTTGCAATTACATATGTGAGAACATATAAAATATATGCACATATTATATTATATGGTATATGTATGTATTAATTTATTCTACCTACAAGAGTACTTCAAAAAGCACATGGAAAATGGAATCAAAAGATAAGTTCATTTGGGCACATGAAAATATCTGAAATCCATGTATAATTTTTCATAACACATTTTTCACAATAATGCTGAAGAACCCTCATTATGCACAGATTTCAAGTTTTTCTGCATCAAAATATGCATATTTTAATTTTCTTTTCCACAAATATTTTGAAGGGAAAAGGGAAGCTGTAGATGTCAGACCAATTCTAGCTTTAATATTCTATAAGGCATGCTTGGAAAACAAGCTTAGTCTCGAAGCCAGCAAGAGACTCAAGAAAATCCAAGATCGCTGCTGAGTCCTTTTGAGTTCCTACAGCCCTGGTAGATCTCTCTGTAGCATCACTATGAGACAACTTGACCACAGAAGTAGTCACATGAACCATCAAGAAGAGAACATCTTCTTGATGCCTACTTGGGCAAGTGTATGCATAGGAAAAGGATTCAATGAGAGCTGCCTTTTGCCTCACAGGTGACAAAAGTGATCCTTGGTAACAAACTGTCATAGAAGTCCACTCACACTACAGATACTTAGTGTGACTTTAAGACATTTATCCTTTGTTGAGGAAGGAAAGGCAATGATCTTGCCCAACCCCCAACTCCCAGCATATCCAGTCTTTTTCTATCACTGTTAACATTTCCTTTGGTAACTCTGTCTCTCCCTGCATAGTTATGAGTGTGAGTAGGGGTGGGGCGGGAGACATACATGGCAATCTGCCTTTTTCCCTTTAAAATAAATTTTGGAGATCTTTCCAAGGGAAAAACAAGATATTTATCCCTCGAGAGCAGAGCCTTGCAGTCATTTTTCATTCCTGGCTGTAATGAACTAAATCTTCAAAGATGATAATGTTGTGTAACTGTAGAAGAAATGTCATTCTAGAAGACTGTAGATATTCTGAAACAGGAAAGCTTTTAGTTTGCACAATTTGAAGACTTGGCTACAAACTTTTGCAATTTCCTTTGCACATAAAACCATGAATTTATTTTGAGAGCTTAGACTATGCAAAAAAGGAAAATTAACTTAATTTTATAATTTTCAGCTCAGCAATGAGCCTATTCACACTATTTGATGTTGTGCTGGAAACACAGCAATTCAAATGACCTCAGAGTAGATGAAATCCACACAAAAAATTTTATAATAAAAATCACTTAGTGAGTAGGCATAAGGATTTCTGCCACAAACAAATCTTGTAAGTATTTCTCCAGCTCAATGATGTAGAGAGAATGCCATAAAAATTCCTTTTGCCTTAAAGAAAGTATTCTCTGAAACTCTCTTCTAAATAAATACTTTAGATATTCTTCAATGCCAATACATTAAAAAATTAACAAGATTAATATATTATGTGTTCCAAAAAATGATGTAATACCCTGAATTAAAGTTCTTTCTCTCTGAATCTTTCCCCTCCCCCAGCCCCACATGCTTGCACTTGCTCTCTCTCTCTCGCTCTCTCTCTCTCTCTCTCTCACACACACACACACACACACACAAACTACTCTCAAAGCATATCTTGTATAGATCCATGAGAGCACACAGTTTTTCCTGATCATCCTGCACATTCTCTCACCTAAACCCTGGCAAAAGTTTAAGCTACATTAACAATTAAATGACTGCATTTAATTAACAATTAAATGAACCTCATAGTGGCATTTTATCCATGTTTAAAAAGTAATTGTGGTTCTAAGTACATCCCCTAGTTTACTCATCTACAAGTGCTGGAGCAAGACCTCCAAAGAGTTCCATGAATATACAGTGAAAAATAGGGAAACAATTTGCCATCACGCTTCAGCATTCTTCATGTTCCAATCTTTCATGATATTGCTGCTTTCATGTATTCCTTATATTGCTCACTTTCTCCAGCCTCCATGGAATTATTTATGTGGTGGCTCTCCTGTACATTTCCACTCTTCATTTCTATTCTAGATGGCTCTAATCATTCCACAGAAAGCATAAAACTTAGTCAACACACCTAAATTGTTGACAGCAATTAATTCATCATGAGTAAATTGAAAGCACTTTAAAAGTTTATTTAAGATGGGAAATTTGTTTTTCTGCCCAGATGGTTTATTTTGTGTACTACTCTTTAAAGTTATGATGTAATTATTGACATACACAATGTGTTCTACCCACAAGTCATCTTCTCATTGTAATCCCGGGCAACAGGTTCAACAGCTATGAGGCAAGCAAACCATGCACACCAGAACACATTATTACTAAAATGTCCTAATCATGGAAGTATCCAATGGCCTTCTGAAAAGCTGTAAACATTATGACTGTCTTCTAATGGAGAACACAACATTCTCTTTCACACCAAGCCTACCCGGTGCTCTTCCTGCTGCTGTCTGAGAGTTTCGTACTCAAGGGCTGGAGCAGGAAGTTGAGAGATGATCCTCTGTGTTTCTGTCAGCCATGGCCAAAGTTCTTCATATGTTTCCCAGAACTGGTTAACCAGAGACTGTGCTCGTTCTAGCTGCAGATACCTCTCTGAGTTTACTTGGCAGATGGCATCATAGTTCTTCAGTACTTTGTCCAGTTTTTTCTAGAAAATAATATGGTGAACTGTGTTTAATTGGTCAGGCGAAGATGTATGCATGATACATAATACTTTGTCCAGCACTGTACACTTGGTACAGGGCAACCATAACAAATTTAAGTTAAAGCAACAAAAGCTTTTTAGATTTCAGCTGTTCCTGTGTGTAAAAGTTAATTTTTAAATTAAAGAAAGGCCTTAACTTTTTGGAATCAGGCACTGAGCTCTCTAAACTCAGTAAGCAAAATTCTCCAGTCATTTTTTTCAAGGTCTTTGAGGTTAGAAAAAAAAGAAACTCATACGATTCTAAAAACAATTAGATTATTTTCCAGAAAAAAATTACCCTTTGCAAATTAAATTGTGGGTCACGCTAGCTAACAGAATTTGTTACATATTCTAGAATCAAAGCAGAATATTGTGCTTTATATTGATTTTATGGGGTGGTCACGGTGATCTAGATTATAGTTTTAATTCACAACAAAACTCAAAAGCACACAAAACACAACAGTAATTCAATATATCATAAAATAACCCAGAAACTATTTCATGACAATCTATTCTTTTCATTTGAGAATCTTTATAAAGATAATGAAGATTCACTTACAGATAAGTATATTGTTATTTTAGGGTATAAATAAAAGAGAAAGCGTCATTATATCTGTATTCTACATTCTATCGCTTTATCTATGATACACCTTACACCCTAAAAGAAATGTGTACTCTTAAAATATGGTTTTAAGCATAGCCCTTTGTGTATATGTTTTTGCCAAGGGATATTTTCCTATCAGAAGCATTAATATGCATTAATTTCTTTAGATTCCTTAAATGTCTAAATAGGAATCAAGCAAAAACATATCACCTTGTGGCTGGTTTTCTACCAATTTAAAAGATTATTAAAACTACACAAACTTGGTGCTTCCTTAATTATTCGGCTCAGTTTTGCACTGTATAGCTCACTATAACTCTGCAGAGTGGATTTCGGTATTAGACAGAACCACATATTTTGTTTTTTGTTCCAGCATGAGGGACTGAGATGTTCCTGATGCATATAAACAACAGTGCACATATATAACAACGTATATTGATAATAACAGCAATAAAACAGCTAATGCTAGCTGAATGTGTAATATGTGGCTCAAACCCTATAGCTTTCATGCCTATTGAAAAAGTTGTCCCCACAGTCATTCACTTAAGGAATATTCCTTTCACTGTTATCCTGTCAGCTTAAAAACAAATGCCTTATTTAAAACTAATGATTTTGTTGCTTAAAGAGCATCTGTGGACGAAGAAAAAGTGCTTTTCTAAGACTGAAAGCTCAACACATGCTGTGTATTGAAGAGCCACACTCCCAGTCACACAGACAAGATTATACCTTCATTGATTGCTTTTCCTCTTCACTGCATGTGGTCATGATTTTATGCCCAGACTTAACAAGTTCATCAATAATATCCTTGTGTCTCAGAATCTCCATGGTGAAAGTCTGTGATTTACCAAACAAAGATTTTTAAAAAGGAGAAGCAAAGTATGTGACTAAACTGAAAACAATTAGGCAAAGCAGTTAAAAATAACAAGTTACACTAGCAAGGTCTCGAGAAGTAAATCATGCAAGCACATTTTCTAGAATTGGAGCACACTAGCAAATAATTTAGATGGCATCTGGAAATGTATTTTTTCACCTTTTGAACTTGCAGCTGAGCAGAGGTCTGGTCTTGCTCAAGCCTGATATCACCAAGAGACATCAATTTCTTTTCTGTTTCAGTAATCCAGGATAACTCAGCATCAGCTGCTTGGTCAAACTAAACAAAAGATAAATAATTAGGTCAGCAAGTTCCTGTAACTGGTGCCAGAAAAACACCTATCCTCATTTATTTTCAATATATCTTTATTACACAAGTGGAAAATCTGAGCTTATTTCTTCATGGCATTCTGAAGCAATTCACGATAATGACTGAGTTATAAAGGAGAACCTTCCACTGAGTAATTAAACACAAACTCTTAAAAAGGGATGAACCTGTGACATGGCATTAATGCTTTCAGGACAGCTAGCATGTTTGCTTGCCTAGTAGTCCTAATAACTTGCTCTCCGGGGTACCACCCAATATAACAGGTACTAAAGTCAACAGCTTGATACTATCTTTTAACCATTTCATCTATCATCTAGGCCCATAAGATATACAAGTAGACTCCTGCTATCAAAATACACAATTCTCAGTGAAAGAATGACATGCTCCCATTTATTAATTATACTATGTGTGTATATAAATGTACATGCAAACTTATGTGTCTGTATGGACAGTATATTTGGAAATTAATCATTTTTAATATCTCATTTAATAATGGCAGAAAACATTATCAAGAGCTTTCTTAATATTTAAGAGGTTTTATTTTCCTGATAATAACAGTAATTCATGAACATGGAAGAAATCCATAAGCAAAATAAAAAAGAAGAAAGTTAAAACTTAGAGTCAATACTTTTAATACTGTTGGTATTTTAGTGAATTTTCTTCCAAGAGTGATAAAAATTTGTGAAGGTCTGGGATAATACCATGTATTATTCATTTATTACGAACAGTTCCCATGTCATGTTCTTTCAAGTGTGATTTTTTAAAAATACATCATTGTATTCTAGCATCCCTGGATGTTCTCACTGAGGCGGTCTGCACTTTCTTGCTATTATATAAATGACTGTGTAATGAGTATATTTGTATATAAATCTCTGTTGGCAATTCTCATTAGTTTCTTAGTACAGATTCCTAGAAGTAACTATCAAGTCAAAGAATTTGGATATTTTCAATGCCTCGCATAACATAAATACAAGGCACCTCCAGGGCTGAGTAGTTATCATAAATGAAATGGGAAAGTACAAGTACCAATGACAAATGTTATCTAACAATGGCCTCTGTTGGAAGACTTACTGGGGAACTGATATCACAGATATTCAAGTCCACTACTGCCAGAATTTCTCATTTTTTGAGAAGAAATCCATACTGGGATAGAAGAATAACTTGGTGAGGGGAGAGAAGGGTGTATACGACAACCAGGTAAGATAATAATTCATATTATTAGAACTCTGTGCAACAAATGTGGACACATGGGAAGGTGGATAGAAGACTTTTTTCCTGTTCCTCATGATAAGCACCCTAAGCAACAAAATAGCCTTACCAAAACAAACAAAGGCTCAGAGAAGAAAGAAGAACTAAATGAAAATTTTAGAACTCTAGAATATTACTGAAAAAAAAAATTCAGTGGGTGAGCTCAGTGAATGGGGACAAATGAAAGCTTCAGTGAAGTGGATGATACGATAGAAACTGCCCAAGCTGAATAACAGAAAAAGACTGGAAAAAAGAAAACCCACGGACTCAGTGTCCTGTAGAGCTACAACAAAATATCTAATATCATTGTCAGCAGAGTCCCAGAGGGAGAAGATGAAGTGGCTATGGCTACACAATTCCTTTAAAATTCTTCAAATAATAAAATTACAAAAATGGAGAACAGATTGATGCAAGGAGCTAGCAGGGGGTGGGGGAGAACTGGGAGGGAAGGGGCACGGCTACAAAAGGACAACAACTGGGATCCTTATGGTGACAGAAATGTTCTATAACTTGACTGTGTCAACGTCAATAACCTGCTTGTGATACTGTAATGTAATTTTGCAAAATGGTACCATGGGGGAAACAGTAGAGGGGCTTGTGGGGCTCTCTATTATTTCTTACAACTGCATGTGAATCAACAAGTGCTTTGAAACAAATTTGATTAACAATTTATTCCAGTTTTTCTTTTTTTTACATCTATACCACTAAATTCTCCTTGGGTAGATTGTCCTAACTGATGTTTCCATAAATTATACTCTGATCAACATGGGGTATAATTTATTTCTTAATATTTGTCAAGTTTATAGGTAGACTTCCGTTAACTACAAGGAAACCAAGAAACTATTTGAAAAAGTCTATGTGAACCTAGTTCAACATTTTTCAAATCAAACTATTCATGATAAATTATTGATCAATATGAAAACAAATGAAAAACATTTCACTGGCTAATTCAGGATTTTTGTGGAGAAAGAATCCCCATGAAAAGGAAGAGGAAGAGACTTTTATGTGTGGATTATTAGTTTCCAAGGCATTTACCATGATGCTGTGGGTAGAACTTGATTATGTTGTTGACTTAGAGTGTTAAGACTCAGAAAGCACGTCTAGGCCTTTCTACCTGAGTGTAAATGCTGCAATATTGCTGAATAAAACTTAACAGTGGGATTTTTTTTTTGTCTTCTACTAGACATTGGAAAAATAAGATGAACACTAGCCTTCTTACTTGTTAAAAGTATGACAGTATTTATATGACAGTAAAGTCAGGCCAGTAAGTGTTAATATAATGTTAATACCATGTCTCCTTCCTTTAAATAAAAACAAGTATCCAATGAAAAGCAGTATGAGGAGACCATACAAGTCACCAGAATAGAAAACTGAAACTCAAACATACTGTTTCTTTAACCAAGTCAAATATTTGTTCTGCTAAGAGAAAACAAGACTTCAAGCAAAAATTTCCCTTCTACTTTTTGAGATATTTTAAAAATTAAATTAGCAAATATTTATTGTGAAACAACAAACAGAACAGTCACAGGGTATGTATTAAGCAATTAATAGTAAAGCAAGGTAGTGGGTATAGCTCAGGGGTAGAGCATTTGACTGCGTAGTATAAAGCAAGGCCTTTATGACTCATTCAAATGACTAGCTAACGTGTATTTCTAATGGGCCATAAAAATGGCTCATTTTACATGGAACAACAGGGTGGACATTTTACTAGACTAAGTTTTAATACATTTGTTTACTGCTTATACAAATAGCAAAAACTGACTTCCAAGTAAATTGTTCATAATTTCAGCACCCATAACTGCATTCTGGGAAATAGTTCAATAAGTAGCATCTCTGGATGTCTAACCATCAGCTTTAGCAACTCTAATTCTAATTTTTACTACAGTTGAGTTAGTATTTCAAGTTTCCTAAAAATTAGTACAAAAAGATTCTTAAAAATTAGTACAAGACATGTTAAGTGGCCATCTCTAAATATTCCCGAAAAATACTGTCTAGAACAATCATGGCCAGCATTCTACGGAACACACTGTTCTAAGTGCTTAACATGCAGTACCTCCTTTAATCCTGACAACCGTAAAATGTGGGTATTACCCTCATCTCCATTTTAGAGTCCAGAGCAGAGACAAGTTAACTAACTTACCAAAGATTACCCAGCTAGTACCTGTTGGACCTGAGATTCTATCCTAGGTGGTCTGACCTCAGAGCTGTACTTACTTCCTGTATTACACTGTTTGTGTTAATCTTGACTTTGAGCTTCATGTGATCTCATGAAAAGTTCTAGAGTACCACAGCAATCAATCAAGGAATAGATTTTAATTTAATATTTAAACAGTTCTCTAGTCTCTGACAATTTGCTTTCTTACTTATCCAGAAAGTTCCTCCCGTGTGGAAACAGGGGTTTAAGAAAGACAGAGTCAACCTTAGCTTCAAGGACATCCTTTTTACTCCCTTCCCCTGGCTAGGGATCTGATCACTTTCTTTTGATTAGAGTTTCCTTCCACTTTACTTCTCATTATTCATAGCATAGCCTGTATTTTCCAGCCTCCTACACCTGGAGGGTATAAACAAATCTCACTTCCGTAGGGGATATTTCCTTGTGGTCCTTTAAAATAAACAAACAGGTGGTATTTTTCTCCAGAGCTGATGCCTAACAACCCAATGAGCTATTTAAATTGTGCCCAAAGTACCAACTCATGGGTGTTTATATCAGGGGTTATTATGTGCCCCTTTATCTAAGCCAAGCAATGAGCACTGCCAGAGTCCCAAGGATTCCCACACTCAGGGAGATCCACATATTTTGGCAACTTTGGACATCTGCACATTCATTAGAGGCAAAGGGACAATGAGTTGCTTTAAGGTTTAAACATACACAGCAGTCTGAATTCAGTAAACAAGTCTGGACCTCTTTTAAGAAAAAGTGTCTTTCCCCATTCACACAGGGCTCCTCCAGTTTATTTTGCAACAGGAGAAAGAAAGTAAAAAAAAATATGCTGCCTTGGTGTAGGCTGAAAATGCAAAAACTATGTACAGTTTCTCACACAGAAAATGGCATGTATTGTGAGAGGGAGGCCACCGGGCTCAATGTCAAAATATATTAAGCTGCCTGTTCCACTAAGATTTTTTTTTCCAAAAAGCAATGAATAGGTCCAATTACTTTTTTTTTTTTTTTAAAGAATATCCTCTTCTATAGAATCAGACTGGGGAGCTTATGGCCTGGTAGCAAGGAGTACATACAGCCCTCGCTTATTCACCCATAACTGAGGCCATCCATCCATTTATTTCCCAATTAACAACAAACATCACCTAAATTTACAGAGTCTTTGCCCCGACAGTTTCAAAATTATAAATGTTATTGTGACACGATTAACATGAATATCCAGCCATATCAAATCAGAACTCCTGAAAACTAAATTTATACAGGTATATCCATGCTCCCTTTTCCTTCCCCCTTCAAGCTTGAACTTTTTCCCCACGTTTTCCCAGACATCTTTCATGTTGGTGTTTGGAAGTCAGTATGCTCTGGATCGGTGCTCTGATAGCCCACAAATACCCTACACATTTGCTGAATTCCAAAAAGGAGGTTATAACATTATAAAGGAGGTAGATCTGCATATAAACCACCTTAATTCTGGACCAAAATACGAAATATATTGAGAGATGTCTGCTTGGAAAGCAGAACATTTAGTCACTTAAAATCGAGTTGAATTTAGCCAGGTCATTTGGGAAAGAGCAGTCAATCCCTAAACTTTTAAATGGTCAAGTAATGTTCAGAGCATCCATCTTCACCCTGTCACTTGTGGGTGTGGGGATGCTGAGCGCAGAGGTCAGGAGAGGAGCTGTTGTTGATAAAACAAAGTGGATATGACTCAAGGTGTGTCTAAAAAGATGAATGGAAGTCAGGGCATGTCTGTATTTCATATGGAGAAGAGACACAGGATGGTAGATAATTTGTTTATACAACACAGAATAGACAGTTACAAAATATGTGGCTAACACTCACGTCTAAAGACAGTTTTTTTTGATAGCACTCCTTTCATAGTTCATGGATGTACTATCATTGGCTAAAATAGAGAACACATTTTGTTATCAAACTTTAGCACCTATTCCAAGCACCTATAGATAATTTCAGTGATACATTACCTTCCTTATAAACTTGAAAATTGAATTTAGAAACCTATCATTTAGGTGTGAAAGTAAACTTCTGTTCAACCAGAAAGAGAGGTACCTACTCTGTCCCTGAACTTGCTTAGACAGTGATGTTTCATGATCCTTTTAGTGCTGCATTTTCATGTTCCATAGTCTTTATAGCAGGAAATAATTTCACTACAAACTTCTATTTGGCTGTAGTAATGGCATTTTTCTCGATATTACTGAAGAAGGTTACAAAAAACTGGATCATGGAATTTATAAGGTGGCACTATGGTGTGGTAGAGGTAGAATGAGATCTGGATTTAACGTTAGCTGCAACACTGCCACTTACTAACTGTGGGACCACAGGGAAGTCCCGTCCTATATATTGCATACTGCACATGTTCCTCTCAGCTCTAAATGTGTATGTGTGTACGTAAGTGTGTGTTTAGCTTTACTGGAAGTATTTCATTGGGCAGGCATACAGGTATCTGAAAAAAAATGCAGATATAAATACACACATAAAGAGTAAGATGATATTAAGGGGATTAATATTATCTGCATGACCTAATGGTACTAAGACTTTTTTACTATACACGTTCTCTGATCACCTTGCCTAAAAGAAGTTATGAAGGCTATAGCCCAAATTATTTATACATCTCTGTGTGTGTGTGTGTATCTTTCTGTAACTTTCAGAAAACAATTGAAATAGAAATTTCTCTATAAGGAATCATTTTACCAGGTAAAAACCACAATAATCATTGTTCTTCCAAATATGTTTTAGGTTGTAGAAGACTTCCATTGATCTGGTTACTGTCTTTCTACTTTGGAGAACATTTGTAAAACTTTGAATAAAACTGGGTTACAGTTAATGAGGTTGGCACACTTTAGAGCATACTAATCAATACCAACTCAGTCTGTGACCTTGCCCTTATTACTGTCTGACTTCACTGAACTAATCAACCATAGCCAACGTCAATGAAAATCTTTCTCTCAAAAGTATAGAGTACTTGTTTTACCGCATGGAGAAGTCTTAAGTGCTAGCTCTAAAATGCTGAAATAAATTTCAACAGAAAAAAAAATCAGTATTTTAAAATAGCTGAACAAACTTTACAAATAAACACACTTTCTCCCCTATAATAACTGAGACACACAAATTCCCCCAAACTTTAAAAACAGAGTCATGCAAATACATTCCTCAGGCATGAATGCCCTCCCTTGCAAAAATTTCTTAGGCAGGACTTTTGCTATTGCATTTTATCAGCTTGTGGGATCCTACAGCACAGTACCAGAATGAGGAGAGGAGCGTTAAGCTTTAGGACTACATAAATTGTACTTTTACAGCGACATCACAAAATTAACTTTGGATGCTCCCACAGAGTCGGCTTGATTTGTGTTTCTTGCTTTTGGCTTGCATTAGTAAAAGCTTAGTCATACACCTTCCCAAGCTCTGCTCTAAAGGCACACTGCAATATCATACTAGAAAGTCTGTAATAAGAGTCTGATGCCTTAATGTAAACATTCACAGAGATTTCAATAAAAGTTAATCAAAACACGTATTCTAAACTCCTATTTCCAGGGCCCCTCTCACTGCCTCCAGTTTTCCGAGGAGCTGCGGCTAAGGGTTGGGTGCCTATAAAACTCCTGGAGTATAAACTCTGTATGAGTCGTAGACAGGTCAGAAGCCATAATATTTTCCCTTTCAGTCATCTTTGGAAAACACTCCACATTACCAACCAAATGGTTTCCTTTTGGAAAAAAAAAAAATACTTTCTCTCTGCTATGGCTGTATGTAAATGAACAGTTAGTACTGGCTTATCATTCAAAATATTTACTCCCATACAGATTAGATTTAGGCCAGGCATAAAATGAATACTGGTAATATGCAGATGTGTAGACAAAAAGCATTTTGTTTGGAAAGCAGGGCTGAGCCTGTGAAACAGCGTGAGGCAGATGGCTGTGAACAATGTGCAGATTAGCCTTGCCCTGGCGCTCAGACGTAGCCCGGTCCAATTTTATTCAAATCTATCCTTTTATTTCTGAGGCACGAGAAATGAATGGGAACACTGTTCACAGACATCTTTGTTCAGGTACGGGCTCCGGGAACAGCTGGAGCAAATTTATTGCCGGGACAACAAACCACTCGTCCCTACCTGCTGTGCTCTCAGAATGGCAGCATCGATCTCCTCCACCTTCTGAGTGATGGTGTCGCTCACTAATCGGTAGCGCTCATTGTCCTCCGCGACCATTTTCTCCAGTCCTTCCCTCGCCCTCCACGGTACCAGTTCCAGCAAAGCACTGCTCACTTCGTTCAGGGAGTCCAACACAGCTTTGTTGTTCTTAGCTTCCTTTTTCAGTTCCTGAAAACACACAAGCAAGAATTTCCACAGGTTTTGCCTTTTGCCATTTTTAGGGCTAAAGGCCTGTGCCCACCAGTACCACTCTACTTAGGTCTCCTCACTTTCAGTGGCATTAAATAAAGCTTTGTTATTTAAAGCTATTTTGCCAAAAGGAATGTGTTTCCGGGGAGAGGTTCAAGGAACAGTTCCTTTGTCAACGTTTACAACGTTTTTTTGTTATAATTTAATATAAATTAAAAATCTGGGAAACAAAACCTGGCTAGTTAACATGTATTACTCTTTGCTTTCTGGGAACTGCTCCGTAATCAGGTAACGGAAAAGTACAATAAAGAAGACATTCCTAACCAGAAGTCAGTGGCCTTCAAAATGAGGACACTGGTTTTAAATCATTCCCGTTGAATCATAATAGGCTCAGTGATCCTGACCTCACACACTCCCTTTCAGCCACATGTGGTCATTCTTCAGGGATGAAAAAACAGAGGATGATGGCTCTGAAAGGCCGAGTGATGAGCCTGGCAGCATACAACTCTTGTGATAAAACTGGAAAACCCACCCCCTGCTACATATTCATCTTACAGAAATACCGCGGTTCCAACCAAATTATGTGTGTCTCTGAAACAACAATCATTTTCATCCCCCTCCTTCACTCTTTTCATCATTCTGTCTCTTGTGTAAACCACACTCCCAGCTATAAGACTCTCGAAACAAATTATAATTCACTTTTTTCATCTCTGGGCTCCTCAAAGTTTAATTAGTTGGTACGCTGCCAGTTTTTGTTGGGTCCCCGCCCACTGAGGCATCCTTCAGCATATTAGTTATGACACAAGATATACACAGAATTTCATTTGGTGTGTGAAGAAGACTCCCTAAAAGAAAACAAACAGATCTGGAATGTACAATCAGAGCGTACTTTTTGCCTCACTTGTGCTTGGCCTGCTGCTTCTCCTTTCAGAACCTGTGTTTCATAGGAAAGTAATTCCACCTCTACTTTGTCCAGCCAGGTACATAGCTCCTCATGTGTAGAGTGCAGCTGTCTTGCAAGCTGTAGTGCCTGTTCCAGAGTCTTGGCCACATCGGTGCTCAATTTCGTAATGTCTTTGTACCTTGCTTTAATGGCTTCCAATTTATCTTGAATTATTAAAACTTCATCACCTAAAATTCCAAAGGCATGTTATTTTTTATGAAAAGAAAAAGGGGGGAGGAAGAGGGTCTCTTCAGATATTATTATACACTGATGAGATTTTCTAGGGAGAAAAAAAGGAATTTATTTTTCTAAGGATAGTCTGACCAAGAGAAGCAATGTTCGCAATTTTAGTCTTTTGCAAGATTTCAGGCAAATCCTGACACTTAAGATGTAAAAAAAATTAGAAAAGGCTACAGGATCTTCAGTTTTGTGGAAAGTGGTGCTTTTGTACCTGTCTGTATGATGCTTTCAGTTTCCAAAGCACAAATGTTAAAAACTGCCTCGAATTGGTTCATGAAGTTCACTGACTTCATAGCTTAAAAGCTTGGATCACTCTAGGTAAGACAGAGCCAAGTGTGTCCTGGGCTGCAGACTTCTACTTCAAAGCTCTACAATGCTAAGTTGAATTTCTCCAACTCATAACTGAATGGGAACCGTTGCCCCCACACACATCTTGCTGCAGCAGATAAAGTGACAGTGAAAATTTCCTATGGTCAGAGGAATCACTAAAGGAAGTTAGTTTCTCTGAGCTGTTCTAAAAGCTCCCCATGTAGATATTAAAGCAAGTTTCTGTTTTCTTAGCATGCAGAAATGAAGCTTGTATATAGCCATAACATGTGCGTCACTGAGATGCAATCCATGTTAAAATAAAACAAATTAAAAAAACACACACATACAACTGTCAACAACCTACATGTTCATCTGCCTTCCACAAGTGGAAAACTAATGTAACTCTGTCATGAGCTTCTCTGACCAGCTCCTGTGCCAAAGCGCTCTATGTTATGAGTAATACACACAGTGTCCATCAAGAACTCAAGTGAGATCATGAGAAAAAAGTGAGATCATATTCTAACCACCACCTCCCCCAGCCCCTTGATTGTTCTTCAAAGCATTCTCTGAGACGAAGTCTTGGAATGGCCTTCAAGATTATAAAGTGTTTTGTCTTTCTCCCCCACCCCGTACCTACATTATTTTTATTTTTGAAAGCAAAGAAAAATGCTGACTGCATGACAATGGATTTGAAAGATATCTCACCTGTGGTTTGTTTAAGGAGTTCTAAACCATTCAGTAATGCCTGATCTACATTTTGCTTCCTGAGAAGGATGTCCTCTTGCAGAACCTAAAAACACAGGCACCAGTTTTTACATGGGGTGGGGATTGGAGGGCTGGGAAGAATTTAAATCAACACTGGATTTAGTTGACCTCAAAGAACTGTAATTAAGCCTGTGCTTAATAGAGATGTATTTGAATAAGCACATCATGTTTCCATATATTCATTACTGTTCTTGTGTTTAGACCTCTTCTTTCTACCATGGTGTCCTATAACCCATGTTCATCTCCAATAATTCACAGCACTCTTTTTATCAGAAAATACTTAAGGATTTAAGAAAATGGGCTAAATGGAAACTCTGGAGAATCAGTTAATTACAGGTCTTTGTATACAATAATAAAGTAAAGCAACAAAATGAAAAGTGAAAAAACCCAGATAATGGATAAATCTAATCTCTCTCTCTTTTTTTTTTTTTGACAGGCAGAGTGGACAGTGAGAGAGAGAGAGAGAAAGGTCTTCCTTTTTTCCGTTGGTTCACCCCCCAATGGCCATTGCGGCCGGCGCGCTGCTGCTGGCACACCGCGCTGATCCGAAGCCAGGAGCCAGGTGCTTCTCCAGGTCTCCCATGCAGACCAGGGCCCATGCGGGTGGAGGGCCCAAGGACTTGGGCCATCCTCCACTGCACTCCTGGGCCACAGCAGAGAGCTGGACTGGAAGAGGAGCAACCAGGACAGAATCCGGCGCCCCAACCGGGACTAGAAGTGGAGGTGCTGGCACCGCAGGCGGAGGATTAGCCTAGTGAGCCGCAGCGCCGGCCCTCTTTTTTTTTTTTTTTTTTTTTTTAAGCGACTTCATTAAAAGCAATCTATAGGGACTGGCGCTGTGGTGCAGCAGGTTAAAGCCCTGGCCTGAACCGCTGGTTTCCCATATGGGTGCCAGTTCTAGTCCCGGCTGCTCTTCTTCCAATCCAGCTCTCTGCTATGGTCTGGGAAAGCAGTACAAGACGGCCCGAATGCTTGGACCCTTGCATTCACATGGGAGACCCGGAAGAAGCTCCGCTCCTGGCTTTGGATCAGGTCAGCTCCAGCCATTGTGGCCATCTAGGGAGTGAACCAGTGGATGGAAGACAAGACCTCTCTGTCTCTACCTCTCTCTGTAACTCTGTCTTTCAAATAAATAAAATAAATCTATTTTTTAAAGCAATCTATAGGGGCTGGTGTTGTGGCATAGCTGATAAAGTCAGCCCCTATCGCTCCAGCATCACATACGGGTGCTAGCTGGAGTCCCAGCTGCTCCACATCTGATCCAGCTCCCTGCTAATGCACCTGGGAAAGCAGAAGAAGATGGCCCAAGTGTTTGAGCCTCCACACCCATGTGGGAGACCCAGAGGAAGCTCATGCTTCTGGATTCAGACTGGTCCAGCTCTGGCTGTTGTGGCCATTTGGGGAGTGAACCAGCAGATAGAAGCTCTCTGTCTCCTCTCTATAACTCTGCCTTTCAAATAAATAAATAAATCTTAAAAAAGAAAAAAGAGTAATCTATATACACAGGAAAAGCCTTTTTGGAGTATAGTTGATTCACCTAAATCATAATAGACATAAATTAATACAGAAATAATATGAGAAAACAATGATAACTGAGATGAATAAAATAAAATAGAATAGAATAAAATAAAATAAATCCAAATACCCGAAGTTCAGACTGCTGCTTCCACAGTCCCTCAGTGCTATAATCCTGGACTGAGAGCTTGCTGAGTTTGCCATGCACTTCATTCAGCCAGTTCATCAGCTCAACTTCATCTTCCCCAAAAATCTTAGCATTACATAAGGCCTGCTGGAGGAGCTCAGACCTGCTGTGACTTTTCTCTTGAATCTCAATGTACCATACTTGAGAGAAGTCTAGTTTATTCTGCACCATATCTTTATCCTCCCTGGAGCTCAAAACCTTTAAGGACTGGCCAATGCTAACAGCTTGATGTAAATGTTTATTGTGATTGATGATGTCATCTTCCAAGGCCTAAATACAGTTTACAAAAAGAAAGAAGAAAAACAAAAAGGATGGACAAATAAAAATGAAAAACATAAACAGAACTAAAAGATGGCAATTGAAATGAATTTAGTTTGTAAGTATGCGTAACATAACAATAGTACATATAACTCAAATTTATGTCAAAAACCACAACATAAATGGAAAACTGAGTCTTACTTATGTCTGATTAGCATCTTACTTTGTGCTGTGCAATTTGCTCCTCAAGTTTAGATGCTTGGGTTCCTATGGGCTCACAATTTGCCAGCCTCTTCTCTATGGTTGTAAGCCACTCATTCAGTGGTTCTAAGGTTTCATGAAATTGCTGTGCTACCACGGAGATACCTTCCAACTGACGATTCCTACAAAAGTGCCAAGATAAAGGTCATTTAGGGATGAAGAATGTGTGAAACATCCAACAAAAATCTTGAATCATGCTCCTGCATTTCATTGTAAACATTTTTTGCACAAATCATATAAGGTTAAAATATAAATATTTAACACTTAAAGGACACAGCAGAATACTTCTTATACTAAACAGGATTAAAGTTGAACAGACCATCCTCAAGTACCTGACTCTCAGGAAAACCCGACATAATATTTTTTAATAATAATTATGGTAACAATTATAGTCATAATTATAGCAATGTCATAGTAACAACAGCAGCAAAAACACATAATAGTTTTCAAACAGCCATCCTGTGCCAGGCCTGTTTCAAGGGCTTTATATCTTAATTTCAATTGAGCACTAGTTATAGAGATTGATTTTAACCAAAAGGCCCAAAGAACATATGCCCATCTCCTCCCCCTCCCCCACCGCCCTGCCTTCACTGCTTACTGGCATTAACAGGGATTCCTAATTTATAAAAGTAGTGTCAAATATAATTGCCAAAAGCAGTATTTACTATTGTTATGGTTTCAAATATCACAAACAGGACAGAAATGTTCATTGGATTTTTACTTAATAGTGAAACACTTTTTTAACATTTTTACTTATTTATTTATTTGACAGATGGAGTTAGTGAGAGAGAGAGAGACAGAGAGAAAGGTCTTCCTTCTGTTGCTTCACCACCCAAATGGCCGCTACTTCTGGAGCTACGCTGATCTGAAGCCAGGAGCCAGGTGCTTCCTCCTGGTCTCCCATGCAGGTGCAGGGGCCCAAGCACTTGGGCCATCCTCCACTGCCCTCCTGGGCCACAGCAGAGAGCTGGACTGGAAGAGGAGCAACCGGGACTAGAATCCGGCGCCCATATGGGATGCCGGCGCCGCAGGCGGAGGATTAACCAAGTGAGCCACAGCGCCGGCCCCAGTAGTGAAACAGTTTTAGAAAACAATCCAGTTTCCTCTGTTGCAGAAGAGCCATGTATAAAACCTGCTTTTACTGTCCACAACCTTCCTAGCATAAGGGAATATGCTGGTCTGTAGCCAGGGCAGCCCATTCAGTACAAAATCCTGGAAATCATTTCTACTGAAATCAAGAGTTGTTGCTGTCATCACTTCTTACTACGTTTGATTCTTAGGAATATTACACAATTCAAGAAATCAGTGTAAAATGGGGACAAAGTACTTTAGAGGAAATTGCCACAAGCTACTATGTATAATTTATGTAACATATCACAACTTACATACACATGGCTTTTTTTTTTTTTTTTTTTTTTTTTTTGACAGGCAGAGTGGACAGTGAGAGAGAGAGAGACAGAGAGAAAGGTCTTCCTTTGCCGTTGGTTCACCCTCCAATGGCCGCCGCAGCCGGCGTGCTGCGGCCGGCGCACAGCGCTGATCCGATGGCAGGATCCAGATGCTTATCCTGGTCTCCCATGGGGTGCAGGGCCCAAGTACTTGGGCCATCCTCCACTGCACTCCCTGGCCACAGCAGAGAGCTGGCCTGGAAGAGGGGCAACCGGGACAGAATCCGGCGCCCCGACTGGGACTAGAACCCGGTGTGCCAGTGCCGCAAGGCGGAGGATTAGCCTAGTGAGCCGTAGCGCCGGCCATACACATGGCTTTTTAAAGCTTTCGTTTGAAATACATTTGACCCTCCAAAAAGAATAAAATTACTATGTTCTTTTTAACTTTTGAATTAACTATGTATGACTTTTTTTTGCCTAAATTCAGATGTCCAATCACAAGTATCTTGTGATTGGGTTTAATACACGATTTAAATTATGAGCAAGAGATATAGGTGTACATCATAATTATTACCAATATTCTCTCTGTTTAATCCCATTGTGAGGAAGGTTTTAGAGAAAGAAGACCAATTATGGCAGTAAAGCTGAGATCCGGTCATTCTGTCATTTTAAAAAATTCACTGACAGTATCTTCTAGCCAGGCCACAATACCTGGGGCATTACACAGATGGGTGCCTCAACACACACCATGCTGCCTTAGAAGCACCTTGTTCTATGGTCTTGAAATTGTAATTAACACTACTCCATAAATTCAAGAGTAGTTAAATGTGCTTCTTAACCTTTCTAGCTCCCAAGAAGGTAGAAATGTATGGAACATGCTTATTTTGTTCGGTGGCTCATCAATTTTCAGCCCCACCAGTCTAAGTGGCTACTCTTCAATGCAGTTTCTACTTAACAACACTCAATGTAGCTTCAAAGCAGAGGATGAATTAGTGGTTGAAATTTGGGCAGAAGGAAAATGTGAAAAACAAAGAAACAGAGAGGCCGTGCTGCTGGCTTTCTGACCTTCACGAAGATAGGGCACCCTTCCACTGGCCACGTTTCACAGCCAACTCTAACTTCTCAGTTAAAACATAGCTTTGTGTTACTCCCTTGGTGCTGGACCAGGTTCCTTCTATAGCAAGTTCCCAAAGCACACTGTATTTTTTCCTTTGAAACAGCACATTGGCCATTTTTCACTTTGAAAAATGAAACCTGAAAACTCTACTAGAATGTACCCAACCTGAGGGCAGAGGTGATCTGACCAGCTCACCCACGGAATCCAAGGCCCAATCTGCGCCTGACTCATAGTAAGCAGGAAGCAACTATGTAATATAAGAATGCTTCACTTCTGAGGGTAATGTTTCTCTTAAAAAAGATGAAATAGCTGGTGACTATAAGAGAATATCATTAGGGGCTGACGCTGTGGCATAGTGGATTAAAGCCCTGGCCCAAAGCTCCGGCATTCCATACAGGCGTTGGTTAGTGCCCCGGCTGATCCTCTTCCAATCCAGCTCTCTGCTATGGCCTGGGAAGGCAATACAAGATGGCCCAAGTGCTTGGGCCCCTGCACCCACGTGGGAGACCCAGAAGAAGCTCCTGGCTCCTGGCTCCTGGCTTCAGATTGGGTCAGCTCCGGCCATTGCGGCCATCTCGGGGAGTGAACCAGTGGATGGAAGACCTCTCTCTGTCTCTAATTCTCTCTGTAACTCTTTCAAATAAATAAAATAAAGCTTTAAAAAAAGAGAGAGAATATCAGTAAAGGAATAAAGAGGTATCCCAGCTTTCTTACCTATGTTCACACACATGAAAATAATGACTTGAAGAAAAGTATTACCAAAGCATGACATCTCAGTATTAAAGCTACGGCTCCTCTTTCAAACGAACTGGAAGGATTTAAGTTACCTTGTTTCAGCCTTACTAAGCAATGCCTCCCATCTACTATCCAAGAGACTCAGCTGCTTCAAAATCTTCACTTTGTCTGCAGGTTCTGCCGTTGCAGCGATTTTTTCTCCTTCTCGTTTGATTACCTCCACTGTGGATTTACGGTCATCCAGCAATCTTTGTAGAAGCTTGAGACAAAATGTGAAAGATTTTAAAAATCAAGAGAATAATGTATCAACAGGAAGTAAAATGAATTCTGAGTACTTATGATATGAGACAGAAATATAGATTCATATGGATACACATACAAAAGGATCTGAGAAGCAGAATTTTAAAAATGATTGTTTAATGATTATTACTGTTATGTCAGATACTATAGTAGGATCTTTTCATAGCAGATAAAACGAATAAATCTACTAAGCTCTTCATGGTAATCTATTTATTTATTTGAAAGGAAAAAGAGTGACTGATGTCCCATCCACTGGTTTATGTCCCAAATTCCCACAATAGCTGAGACTGAGCCAGGCCAGGAGCCCAGAACTCAATCCAGGTCTCCCACTTGTGTGGCAGGGATCCAACTATTACTTGAGCCATGTAGAGGCCTGCTGCCTCCCAGGGTATGTATTAGCAGGAAGCTGGAAATAAGAGTCGAGCCGTGATTTGAATGCAGGCATTCCAACATGGGAAGTGGGCATCAGAAACAGTGTCTTAACCACGACACCAAATGCCCACACCTTTCATTTTAAATATAAAATATTAGAGTAGAAGTGCTATTTAAGTTAACACAGTGAATCATGGATTTAATTTAACGAATGGTAATGCCTTGTCAGAATAAAAAGGATTACTATGAACAATTAATGTATTCTAAACCCTTTCCTATGTTAAATAATCTGTAATAACCAAGGAAGTTAAAATACAGATCCAGTCTGCCTGTTAGCAAGGCAAAAGTAACAGCTCCCAGCTCCTTTTAATAAGTGGCACTAACTCCTAAAATCCTTTTAGGAAGATGATGACTAAGAAAAGAGACTTTACATATTTTCTAAAGAAAGCTAGAGTGTAGTATGTTAGAAATCCCCAAAGCTGCCAAAATAAGACTAATATTTTAGGAGTTAGCAACAGAAACAAAATACAATTTAATTCATTAGAATACATTTTTAAGTGCCTGGAATGGAATGCCTGCTATGGCCAACCAGAATTCAGGATTACTTTGCTCTAAGCTCACCCTAACAAACTGTTGGTGAGCAACTGCTAGCTATGCATAGGCACTGTGCTAACAGCAATGAGAAAGGCACAGGTATGTAAGCAACTAACTGCCTCATTGCTTCCTTTGTCTGATCCTGACTGAGTGTAAAAGATTAAAGACTGGACAATTACGAAGAAGAGTATTTGGAGACCAAGTTCACCAAGGCAGAATTTAAAAGGAATACATGTTTAGAAAGGAGGGGAGGAAACACACACTCTCTTGACACAGGTTTGAGTCATTCACTGTATGAGCAAAGTATTATAGCAGGTGGTGTCAGCAACAAGGAGAACTAATTAAGTGGATCACTTTTGATGAATTTAAATAGCAATGTCTCTAGCAATTAAGAAAGCAAAATCAATAAATAGGTTTAGCTGGCTAATGGTCATTAATTACCTCAGGGAGGATATCTTAATTAAATTAAAATTACTCTCTGGGAGAATAACTTTAAATTAAACTGTGAGTGGTAGCAAAAAACCCACACAAATTCAATGTATTTCCAGTTATAGTACCTTAATCTGAAATCAACCTCTAATGGATATGATTTCCTGACATGCTAATGTTTTCGAAGAAAGATGGGGTTAAAATTCTGAGAACAAATGCAGAAGTTCTTTAAAAAGCTTTTAACTGACAAAAATTAATTGTATACATTTATGGAGTACAATGTGATGTTTTGATCCACATACACAATGTGGAATGATCAAATCAGGCCAATTAACATATCCATCACTGTACCTACTTACCATTCATTTGTGGTAACAACATTTAAAATGAACTCTTTTAGCAATTCTAAAATACATAATCCATGATATTAATTATGCTAAGTGCCTAAACAGTAAGTGCAATAAGCCATGCATAGAAAGATAAATTTTAAATTTAAAAAATTAAAAAAAGTTATTTTAAAAGGACTAGAGTAATTCACTTCCTTTTAAATATTATTATTTATTTTCCTTTTATTTGAAAGTCAAAATAACACACAGAAAGAGAGAGACACACAGAGAACTCTCCTCCACTGTTTCACTTGCGCAAATACCCACAATAGCCTGAACTGGGCCAGGCTGAGAGTCCAGAACTTGATCTGGGTCTCCCACTTGGGTGGCAGGAACCTAAGCCATCACCTGCTATCTCCCAGGGTGTGCACTGGTAGGAAACTGGAAGTAGAAAGTCAGGACTCAAACCCAGGCACCCTGATATGGCATGTGGGTATCCCAAGCAATGCTGAAAATGACCATTCCCGCTCCCTTCTTTGTAAATTTTACTGGAGAAAGCTTCCCACTGTACTGCATGCTAAACTCCTTTGCACATGTCATTTCAGGCTGAAGCTGACAAATTACTACTGAAAATGTCACTAAATGCTTCACACCTGAACTCCTGCCATAGGGAATACAATGACTGTGTAGGTGGTCCCAAGTAGTTATCATCCTCTAGAGACTGTGTTTTTCCAACCTGGCTTTGTTTTGGTAGCATTCAAAGACAACTGGTACATTCCTTAGCAGATATAAATGGATTATTTTTTTCTTTGGTAATAGGTTGAACCATAAGAAACTGCTGTTATTTAATCTACAAAAAGGCAATTTCATATGGCTAGTGCTACTCTGTAAGGGAACAGTATTGCTTTCCAAATGTCACCTTATTAGTGAAGGCTTCCTTTACTGTCCTATTTGAAACTGCACAGACACACACACACTCAATTCTAACATTTCCAGTCCCTCATTCTTGTTCGGTTCCTTCCTGATTCCTTCTCCTACCATTTTATTTACCACTTGCTAATTTATCACAGTGTACTTACTTCATGTTCTCTCTCTCTCCCTCTCCCCCCGCACCTCCACTTTCCCATTGGACTTTAAACACAAGAGGACTTTTTATCTTGTCTATCCAATGCCATATCCACAGAACCTAAAACAGTGTCTGGCTGACAGAAGTATCTAGTATGTAGGTATTGAATGACTAACAAACTAAGATACAGAGTATCAAGAATCAGTTAACTAAAATATCCTATTGATAGAGCTAAAGACAGCCAAAGGGAAGCAGTCATTCTCATTACCAAGACTGAACATGAAACACAACATGAAAGCATCACTACCTTACCTTTTGTTCTTGTATTTGGGCCTTCACCACTTTGTACTCGGCTGATGGGGGCTTCTGATTGGCCACAAGCTCTTCGGTGTCCACCATCCAGCTGAGCAGAGACTCGAGGGCATCCTGGAACCTCCCACAGTGTAGCAGGGCCTCCTGTAACTGGGCTGCTCGCTGAGCCACCTGCCAAGTCCCAATTGCTTCCACTTATTTCCATGTTTCATAAATTAATGAAAGCGCCCACAGTCACAACTTTTCATGCTTATTTTCCCATTTTGTTACAAGTTTTGTTCTCCTTTTCACTTAAAATTTACCCAAAGCATTAATAGGGATCAGGATAGGAGTTCAAACTTTAAGAAGTAAACCACAAAGATAAGATGTCCATCTCAAAAAGTCAATAATAATGACTAAATCTTTGAGACTTTGGAAATGCTGAACACAGTTATGATTAGCAATGAATGATTCAAAATATCTTAGCATTGTAGAAATTAACTACATATTATCTTAGCATTATAGAAATTAACTACATATTGTCATTTTTATTATTCCTGGATTCATTTCTAAGTTTCCTATCAATGAATGTTAGAGATAATGAAAAAGACCAGCTTTAAAAGATTAAAAGAGACTATAATAGAAGATAGGATCAGCATTTATTTTGCTACCCAAAAATAATGATAAAGCATCCAATTAAATCCTGTTAGCCCTGGAGTCCTTTTTCAACCAGCCAGGGCCTTTGTCTTCTAGTAAACACAGCCTCTGTGTCCTACACAGTGATATCCCATTGCCCCTCTCATAGAGCTTTTCCTTCGGATTCAGAAGGGAGTTAGTTGGCAAGATGCTTTTAAACACTATGAAGTGTATTTACATGTGACACTGCACGCCAGTTGTGTTTAAGGAACACTGCAGTATGAATCAGACTTTAAAGAATGGCAGGATTTTAAGACCTGGCAACTGTTTAAGGCTTCAGTGCAGAAACAACAACAAAATTACCACAACCACTACCATCACTACCATCAGCACTACGTAAGCACTGCCACTCCACAACAATTTTCTGGTAATTTCTGTCACATGGAGAACTGCCTGCCATTTTGTGTTGTCAGTGTTGCCTCCCTAAGATATCAGAGCATGATTTCCAGTGTTTTCCCTCATGGAAATCTAGGGAAAAGTGAGACCCGTATCTTTCAAGTAAGATGATATTTGGAGTTGATGGTCTGTAGCAAGGGCGGCAAACCCATACTTAGTCCGTGGCCAACAGAGCCATGACTTCTTTCACTTGCATAGCCCTGACCTACCACACAGTTTACAATTAGTCACCAACATTTGAAAAATGGAAGGTTTCATGTAGAAAGTGAAATTTCCAGGTCCTTCTGATAGTAATCAGACCATCTGACAACAGCCTACATCACTATATGCAAGCCATTTTTCTGGAGCTAAGAGGTGTGTGTGCTCTCTCAATACAGGGCCCCAGATTCTGGCCAGGCCATCACACCGCTTGTGTCTGAGGCCAGGTCTCTATCAAAGCGGAGATAACGTCAGGGAGAGGCCCTGTTTCACCTAGTTCTCTCCTTTCACTTAGGCTCCCTGTCTAGTTCCTGGGGCTTTGGAGTTTGAGCTATCCAGTGTATTGGACCATAACATAGATGGAGGGATGGAGGGAGGGATGGAGGGATGGATGGATGGATGGATGGATGGATAGATAGATATGTTTAGGAAGTGTGTCACAATAAACACAGGTGAAAAAAATCAACAAAAATGATGATGAAGGGCATCAGAAAATTACCTTCTTATTCAGAGTCTTCCACCGTGTATTGACCTCATCCAGGTCATGCTCCAAACCCTGCGTGCTGGTGCTTTTAGCAGCACTCTGAATAAGGCCTTGACCTAACCAATTAACATCTTGCTGTTTAACCTGTAAGGGTTCGATCTCTTCTTTCTGGAATACCTGCAGTTGGAAGAGCCATAATTGCATGAGTTATATTCTCTAGTAACTACCAAATATACAAGCATTTCTTTAAACATCGAGTAGTAGAAACTATCAATCATTACAGTAATTTTTAGTGCCTATTAATAGAGCAAAGCTACCTTATGAGCAATAGTAAGGGAGAAAATTAAATGTAAATTCACAGCCTACCAAAACCATTCAGGAAAATCAAGACTGATGTTCTTAGTACACTGAATAAGATAATCTATAAAACCAAGAAGATGGCCTATGTGTTCCCTCTTTATTGCTTCATTATCATAACATGAAAAGCTTCCTATTGTTCCCATGTAACTCTAGCAAAAGATTTACAGGAAACCCTAAGGAGCAAAATGGTAAGAGGGGGTCAGGAGGAGGCTTTCTGGGCATGAGATTCTCATAAGCTCTCTAATGATAGCTGCTGCTTGCTGGTAACCAAAGTGTGAGACTCAAAACATAAATGGAGACTCATTGACAAGGAGAAGAAATCAGCCAAGAGCAAACACAGGGCTTGCCAAAGGGGCCAAAAATATAGGGACAGGAAAAGGAAAAAGACCTAGTCATGTTCTGAAACACCAAAGATCTCGGTATTTCTAGCCCCCTCAAATGCTTCTCAAGATGCCAATGGGCCCCCAAGAGGCATGGAGACCTCACCCTCTGGATCTGATCACACACATCACCAGCACAGCAACTCTGGTCCCTCGGTGGACACTGCCACCCACACCTGCACTACCAGCAGTTCCCCAAGGCTTTATTCTCTACTCTGCATCCCATTTAACCTATGGCTCTGCAGTTGCCTGTGGCAGGCAAAGGCCATAGACTTAAATGCAAGTACCATCAAAGCAAACATTTCTATCTTTTTAAAAAAATATTGTAGTTCTGTACCATGGGCTCAGCATGTAATAGTTACCTAATAATTGCCAGATTAATATCTACTTAAAAATCATATTTCTGTGTTTGGATGATGGCACTGACCCCTTAACATATAATACTAGAGGTTGATCCAGAAATCCTTTAATAGATAATTCAAGTGTTTAGAAGATGCTTAAAAGAAAATCAATTATTTTAACTAAGGAAGGAAGGTTTCAGAGAGACATTAAGGTAAAACATGGTTTGTGATTCTGAGTCATTACACTGAAGAACACCATATTAAAAAAAAAACAGTGATGGATAGCTGAACAGAATATATGGAAACATAATTAAGGTCAATAGTAAAACAACACCTAAAATTATAGGCACAGTGTGGAAAATAATTTGGCAAGATGTAGAGGCTGTAGGAGACAAAGTCGGGAGAGTCTGGCCCAAGGCCTAACACACAGGATACTCCTGTGTTACTGTAGGAGTGAAATGAAGGAACAGCAAACAAATTAAAGATCATTTCCTGCAAAATTCCCTTCCTAGCTAAAAGCTCACACTACTTTTTTTCCACAGAAACACCCTTACAGACAATTTCCATAACAGCTAATTGTTTCTATGTAACAATACCAAATATAAAAAAATCAACTATACACAATTAAAAAGTATCAGATCCCTCAAATCACTAATAAACTTCTCACAATTCTCCCCAAGAGTATAATTTACCTAATAAGCCAAAAGAAAGTTGCAAGCAGGTGGTAAAGACAGAATTTGGGCAGTACGATTCTATTTCTTTCCTATAACACTTTCTAAGTTACTTTCTAGGAACAAATAACAGCTTTGGATATGTTTCACTAACCAAGCATGAAGGGACCAGTGATATAGAAAAACACTAGAAGCTTAATTTTAGGAATTTGTATGGTATATAGGATTTAGAGGAAAGTTTCATTCTCTCTCTCAGTCTTCAGAACACCACCACCAACAACAAAAAAACTAATATATTCTAATAAATTCCTTTAATCTGATCTTGGCTTTAAATTAATATTAAGGGTATAAATCAGAGCAGGTCCAAGTGAGTATATGATACTTTTCTAAAGCAGTACAAATATATACTAAAAGTTTAAAAAAAAAAAAAAGATAAGTACTTAAGAGTTAAGAGTATATCCACCTAAAACGTAATTATTTTCTAAAATACACTATAAATTCCTTTATAAGGAAAAACATACTTGGCTAAGCCATTTGCTATTTGTGCAAGGAAAGGGCACAGTTACTTGGGAACGATTGTTTTTCATAGACCGAGAACAGGAACATTTCTGATATTGTCTAAATTCCTTATCTCTCAGTGGTAACAGAATACCTGTGAGGAGAGACTTTCTCCCCAAACTACCCACTGCAAACAAACACAAAGAGAAACTTAAAATAAAATAAAATTACCTCTGAGGCAAAGTTTACCAGAAGAGCTTAGTAAAAGTACCAAAATAGCTGAACTTCAATCTGAGTGGGAAGAAAAAAATTACAGGCCTGAAAAACAACCTCTCCATGCTACAAGGCTGCACCCTTCACTTCCTTACCTCATTCCTACTCACAAAAAGCTAGCAGCCCTATTACTCACATGCACAGCTCCTGAGAGAACATTTTAAAAGTCCTTAATTTGGAGCACAGCATTTTGCACACCACAACAATATACTACTGTGTTTGTACCTTCATGACTAAATCAGTTGCAGCTTGATAAATCCAATATAACTGCCCTTAAATGGCAGTGCCTTAAACCATAATTTGTCTAACAGGCTGACATTAACATAAATTCACAGTGGAGGCATTCTGAGCGGAGGGGAACCAGCCACCATCTGCATGGCCAATAGCAGGACCCTTAACAGCTGGCAATAATCATTGTTCTCAAAAAAAAAAAAAAAAGTCCCTAGTTAATTTGTTACAACAGTCAACTTATCAATATCTGGCATCTTATAGGGTGCTAGTCACACTGCCCAAATAAACGAATGGACTGAGTCATGATTAGAAACACCAGTGACCACTCTGAAACACAACCACAAACCCTTGGCAATGCAGAGTTTCGCATTTCCCTTAATTACCTGAGCCGACTGGAAGCCATTGCAGACTGTGTCCAGTGTCCCAGCCTGGGCCCCAGCTTTTCTGGGTGCAGCTTTTTTTCTCACTGGTGTGAATTTCAGAGAGCACTTCATCCGGAGCACCTCTACTTCCTCTTTAGATGCTACCTTGGGTTCTTTGGAATCATACGGTGCCAACAGTGCCACGTCTCCTACCACCCCTGTGCTACCACAATCTACATCACTCTCTCCCAGATCTGTGAGGGAGAGCTCAAAATCGAAATCCTGAGGGGACCCCTTTGTAAGTTCCCTACTTTGTGCTGTGATTTGGGAGTCTTCGGCTCCACGTGTTTCCTCCTTGTCTCCGTACCTTGGCATAAATAATGGGTCACGCTGAACAGTGCTCGCCTGCAAATCATCATGCAGGCAACAACTGTCACCAGGGATTTCCCTTTGGCCATTTACACACTTTGTTTCCTCTAGTGGAGAAGCATCATGTAAAATCAGTTTGAAGTTGTCATCAGTGTGGGCACTTGGACAGGCAAGCAGCGGGACTTTCTGTTCGTTCAGGGAACTTGCAGAAAAAAATGCCCTATATTGCTCCGTGATAGGAATATCCTCAGCAGAAGACAAGCTTCTAATTCGTGACTGGTCTGCAGTTAAAATGCCCTGCTTTTCTTCCCTCTCTGCTGGAGGGCTGCACAAACCAGAGTCATCATCCTCTGAAGTTAGAGAATTAGTACCCCATCTGCACTTGCCGGCCCTGGTAACGGCATCGGACATATCAGTAGGTTCAACAAAAGAGCTTTCACTTTTGTTTGCATAATCCATAAAATTGGCTGGGACGAACATTCGCCATGACCGTCTATGCTCTTTCTTTTCTGCGTGAGATTTGGCTTTGGGTAATCCTGCGGTTCGGATGATATCGCTGTTTAGTTTGAGTGCATCAAAGATCATCTTCTCATCTAGCTTGTTAGCTTCACGACCTCTCAGCTCAAACGCACTGGAAGAAGTAAGGGCACCATTGGAGGACAAGGAACTGACATCCAGTGTTCTGTGACTGTAGGGTAAGGTCCGATCTGTGAAATGCCTGGAAGACAGGCTACCTTTTGAACCAGAGTCTATCTGTTCATTCAGCCTGACAGTGTCATAGATGGACCGCTGTGGGACATAACAGTCTTCGATATTGAGGTCCTCTTCCTCCTCCCCTTTGCCTACACATGGGGGATTCTGACGTAAACAGTCTGGCCTACTGAGTGGCTTCCCCATCTTGTAGATCGTCAACACAAATATTGCAACTCTTGATACAGAATGCAAGAAGTCAAGTAAAGCATCTTTCAAGAAAGTATACCTCTGCACAGCGCTATGAAGCGGCTTCAGCATAAAGACATATGCTCAAATAACAGACAATGTTAACAGCTGAGGTGTTTAGGTCATCAGCAGTGCATCAGTACAAATGCAACTGTCACCTGGTTGGTTTTTGAAATACTCTAAAAAAGTAAAGTGCATCCCAAACAGAACACTGATCCCTTCCCTCCACTTGGCCCAGCCCCCAAACTTCCCTTTCACACACTCCCAGACACAGAAAGAAACAAACACACCCTTAACAGTGGCTCAAACACTGAACATTCCATTGTCAGTCGATTTCCCTTTTTAGTCTAATTTTTGCATCTAAGGTTTCCAGATTAAAATTTCCAAACGAGCAAGCATTTTAACAGGCTGAATGTTCACTTCGGCAGAGGTCTGGTTAACTGTAATCCACTTAAAGAGGGCTTGCAAAACTCCATCTCCTTTATAAATAAACTAAGCTTCGGCAACTTACAAGACAAACAGAGGGACCGTGTATTGTTCAGATCAAGGCACAGGAAAAAAAAAATCCTCAGAGAAAAATAAGTTAAGTCCAACGTTGTAAGGAAAGTTAAATTCTTTTGCTTGGGGGGGGGGGCAGTAGTTATAAATACTCTTGATTCAAAAGGCAGTTTTTCTTCCCATATTAAGCTTCATGGAGGCTACGGAACTACCCAAAGGAGGGGGAAATCAAACTTTTGGACAGCTAGGGCAGCA